GTATCTAGGAATTATTTATCTTCTATAATTGAAACTTTGTAGCCTTGAGCAGAGGACAGGGCCAGCCAGGGCAGGTGGGAAGCTTGTCTTCCTCCATTGCTGGGGCAATCCAAGCCTCCTGCTTGCGCCAGCTCTGTGGCTGGCTGCCATCTTGGTAGGGTTAAATTTGCATACTTGCTCCTGATTGGCTGATAGGCATGGCTTGGTATAACAGAGTGATGGTTAATTTGCATGTTTCTTTCATTAGTGTAGATATATTTAAATCCGAGTCACCTCTTGTAAACAATGTTCAGTGAATGATTAGCATGTGACTATACTGCCTAACATGTGGTAATTGGTTCTGTTGTCCCCTGGCATGACTTTCAGCAGCATTTAAAAAAATACATTTTATTGATTTTTTTATAGAGAGGAAGGGAGAGAAATAGAGAGTTAGGAACATCAATGAGAGAGAAACATTGATCAGTTACCTCCTACACACCGCCTACTGGGGATGTGCCTGCAACCAAGGTACATGCCCTTGACCAGAATGGAACCCAGGACCCTTCAGTCCACATGCCGATGCTCTATCCACTGAGCCAAACCAGTTAGGGCTCAGTAGCATTTTTAACAAAAGCTGGCCCATGTTCCCTCATACAATGCGCACCTCTTTGTTTACTCATGGTGTTTGGTGAAAATACATATTTAGACCTATTCGGAATAAATTTAAAATTACGTATAGCAGTAGTACAAAGTGAAATTAAACTTTTCATACATACTTACACAAACATGTCTACATAAATAAAAACAGGTAAACTATTTTGTGAATCTTTTAGCATACACATGTGAAAAACCTACTTTATTATAGAACAGCCTTTTGGCTTTAATTAACACCCACCCCCTCACCTGAATTAATCTCTTATATTGAGGTTTTACTGTACTCTCGGGGGAACAAACCACTGTCCCACTCATTACAATAGGTCCCCACTAGCCATGAACTTATTACATGCCTGTCCCACTGGCCAGGTGATTGGGCCAGGATTAGACGGCGGGCCCACTCTAGGCCAGAGCCTCTCCCGGGAACTTGGAAATGGAATACTAGTATGTAACTGGCAGTGTAGAAAAGAGAAGAGTTCGCTTTAGTTTTTGGCCAAGTGGGGGGGGGGGGGGGAAGAGAGAGAGAGAGAGAGAGAGAGAGAGAGAGAGAGAGAGAGAGATGCTCACAGGATGAGGGGAGCAGACACAGACGTTAGAAAACTGCAGGCTCAGAAACAGAAGTGAGTTCCTTGGATCCGAGAGAGTCCAGCCTCCTGTGAGGTGCAGCTAGAAGTCCTGCCTGTGGACCCAGGAGACTCCTAAATCTTCCAATGAATTGTGTTTCTAGGCCTTGCAACCAAGATGACCATTTCTAAGAATGAAGATACCAGTGATGACAATGATGGCAACAGACAGTTTTCAGAATTTTACTTCCACATACTTCCATCCTTACACCTCTTTGAGTCAGGTACCATTGTTATCCCCATTTTATAGGTGAGGAAACTGAGGTACAGAAGTCACAGTAATAAATGATAGGACTGGGCTTTTTTTTTTTTTTTTTTTTTTTTTGAAGATATATATTTTACAAGATTCACTTTTAGAAAGGAAGGAAAACATCAACGTGAGAGCGGAACATCTATCAGTTGCCTCCTGCTTGCCCCCAACAGGGGACCAAACCCCCAACCCAGGCATTGACCTGAGTTGGAATCAAACCAGGAGCAACCTTTTGATGAACAGGATGACCCCATCTGGCCAGGACTTAGTCCAGGTGTCTGTCTAGGCAGTGGGCCCTGCTCTTTCACTATACTCTAAAAACATAGGGGTTGGGGGGGGGAGGGGCTTGGAGGTTATTTTAAACATGTGAAACCCCGCTGGTCCTGAACAAAACCCCTCATCCAAAGGCATATGCTGCTTTCATACAACTCATGCCAACTGGGAGACTGGCAGCCCTCCATCAGCTCAGCGTTTTCATCACTCCATGTCACTCTCACACCACGAGCCAGGCGTGAGGAAGTCTCTCCTAATTGTCCTTCATGTCCCAGAAGCAGAGACGCTGACAACACCCAGTAGTTAAGAACTGAGCTCAGACTGGGGGTTGTCGTAAGCTTGAGTTTAAATCCTCACTGTGCCTTAGACGTGCACTCAGAAGAGTTAATTACCTTTTCCTGACCCAGTTTCCCTATCTATTACAACAGTGTTTCCCAAACTTCGCTCATGATGAGAATCACCTGGTGGAGTTGTTAAACTACAGATTCCTGAATCCCAACTAAGAGTGCTAAACTAGAATTTTTGCGAACACATAGGTAAAATTGTATACTTAACCTATATGTTCCTAAAAATCTGTATTTTAACAACTCCACCAGGTGATTCTCATCATGAGAAGTTTGGGAAACACTCTATTACAGGAATTACAATGCCTCTCTCATGGGATTGTGAAGACGGGATAAAATATGGACTAAAGCATTTCAGCAAATTCTGAAACTTGACACGGCTGCACCTCAGGCAAGTGCAGAAATCACTATTGTGTCCCCATGTCCCTTTTGGAAAAACACTTTTCCTCGGGAAGCTTTTCCTTCAGTGCACAGCATCCCGCAGGGACACCTCTCCCAGCTGAGGAACAGCGACTCTCCTCCTGGCACCTGCACTTCGCATCTTCGCTGCATCACCCAAAACTGAAGGGAAATGCAGACAGGGAAACAAACCATAAAGAGCAGTTGCAGTCCCCGTGTCCCCACTGCAGCAAACCTGGCGTGGCGCCTGCTCCTGCACAGCTACCGGGCCTCGGGCTTTCCCAGACACCGGGCCTCTCCCCAGAGGAAACCCCATAGACGTAATCTCCAATAAGCCTCGCCAGACAGAGCGGGTGTCCAGTGCTTGCACAGAACTTTATGATCTACTTTTCAGGACGACGAGCTGTGAAGCTCAACAAAATTGTTTTTTTGAAAACATATTTTTGTTGATTTCACAGAGGGAGAGGGAGAAACATCGATGAGAGAATCAGTTAGGCTACCTCCTACACGACCCCTACCAAGAATGGAGCCCGCAACCCAGGCATGTGCCCTGACCAGCAATGAACTGTGACCTGGTTCTTAGGTTGATGCTTAGCCACACCAGCCAGGCTCACTAAATTCTTTATCCCCTTTCCCTTCTCCCGTGGACCAGGAGAGGGGAAGAGCTAACACTTGCTGGGCAACAAATTATCCTTAAACCTAGTAGCTTTATTATTGACTTATTTCAGAGGGAGGGAGAAAAACACCAATGTATTACTCCACCCATGCACCCACTGTTGCTTCCTGCATGTGTCCTGACCAGAGACTGAACCTGCAACCTTGGTGCATCAGGATGGTGCTCTGACCAACAGAGCCAGCCGGCAGGGCAAAACCTAGTGGCTGCAGACAATGAACGCCGATTCCCTGTCATGTGTGTGTCTGACATTTGAGAGCAGCCTTGCTTCGTGGTTGTGGCTAAGGCTCTTGCATGAAGGCTACAGTCGGTCAGAATGTGGTCGCCTGAAGGCAGGGCTGGGGCTGGAAGACTGACTTCCGAGATGGGCATGAACCTGGCTGCCGGCAAGGCCTCGGATCTTGCCTCATGAGCCTCTCCACAGAGCTGCTTATTTTCCATGGAAGTGGTTTCCCGCAGAGAAAGGGATCCAAGAGAACAAGAAGGAAGCCATGATGTATCTCAACTCAACCCTATTCGGGTGAACACCAAGAGGAAGCAATGACTGGGGCCTCTCAGAGGCTGGCTGGCACCGGGACAGCCCTGTGGGTCTCTGTACCCAGCCACTGTCTTCGCTTTACGTTAGCTATTTCTCTTCACCCCAAGAACATCTCATTTCAGACCATAATGGTTATGAGGAGGAGGTAGATATGAATAAATGATGCAGATTAGCCGGAACTGGTTTGGCTCAGTGGATAGAGCGTCGGCCTGCAGACTGAAAGGTCCCAGGTTCGATTCTGGTCAGGGACGTGTACCTTGGTTGCAGGCACATCCCCAGTAAGGCGTGTGCAAGGCAGCTGATTGATGTTTCTCTCTCTTCGATGTTTCTAACTCTCTATCCCTCTCCCTTCCTGTCTTTAAAAATCAATTTTAAAAAATATTAAAAAATTTAAAAAGATGCATATTAGGCAGGGCAAAGGCCTGAGTTCAAGGACTATGTCTGAAGAACTGGGAAAGTAGCAGACAGTCTTTAGGGAAGGGAGGCAGGCTGCCCCAAGCCCAGGACAAAAAAAAAGTGTAAGCCACAAGTGCTCCTCCCCAGCCCACCCTGACAGATGAGTCTTGTCCCGTGATGAGCCCCGAGAAAGTGACTTTCAGCTCAGCCCTGCCACTCCGAGTCCAAGCTGGGCCGAGAACTGAGTCCAGGCTGCTGCCACGCTGCCACGCACTGAACTGTGTCCTCTCAAAAGTCGTAACCTGAAGCCCTAAGGCCGAGACCTCAGGATGTTAACTGAATATGCAGCTGGGCCATTAGGGTGGGTGCTAATCCCATCTGCCTGGTGTCCTAAGACATTTGGACACCCAGAGGCACCAAGGGCACCTCAGGGCAATGACACAGGAACAGCAGCAAGCCAAGGATAAAAGAAACCTGCCAGCACCTTCCTTGTAGACTTCCAGCCTCCTGGGCAGAGAGGAAATGACTTCCGTTGCTCGAGCCCCCAGCTCCGTGGCATTTGTTATGCAGCTAAGGCAGCCTACACACGAGCCCTCTGGACAGTGCAGGAACCAGCTGGAAACCTCTGCCATGTAATGTGGCATTGGAACCAGACGTGAGCCGTCCTCTGTAGATGCAGGGAGGTGAGATGCTGGGCTTCCCAGCCAGCGGGCGAGGATGGGCTGCATGGAGCCATGTATACACTGTGTGCGCGCAGACTCTGGTTCCTGCTACAAGTTCCCGAGGGGCCCCAGGACCCACTCCTCCCCTCCGAAGGCAGTCTCCACACGCACAGGCTCCTAGGCCACCGCCGCCGCCTGGCACCTCTCCCTCAGCTGGAAAGCACCTTCTGTATTCGTTCCCGCACTTCCTTTGGTCCCAAGGACACCATCATCTCAGCTACCGGAGGTCCTTGCTAAGAACAAAGAGAAAACATCGCCCATGATCTTAGACTGCCTCAGAGACTCATGCCCAGCCTGGGTCTGCAGAAGTCATACCCAGCCAACCCCAACACTGCTGCCTGTACCCCAGGGCAGATTGCATTGCACTGTCTTTCATTTCTGAGGCTGAGGCTGCATCCCCGGAGCCTCTTCTTCCTGTATTGACATGTCTGTGACCTCCAATCAACTGCCAGCCCACGAAGGATGGCGGAAGGGAGTGTGTGTGTTTGATTTACTACTGTGTCCTCTGTACCTAGCGTAGCACTTGCACAGGAGGCACTCAATAGGTGCTGTCTGATGAGCGAGTGGGTGAGGGGAGTGCTCATCGTTGTATGAAAGATGAGCTCAGTGCTGCTGGTGAATGTTAGCTGACTGGGTAAGTGAGGGCTCCCTGGAACAGTCCAGCCCATCTGCCCGCCTCACCGGATGTCCACTGAGGGCCACTCGGAGGAGTTTCATCACGTGACTGTACTTGGTGCCGGGCAGACCTTCGGACAGCTTCTTCAGTTCTGCATTCAGCACGTCCTGAGTTAAGCTGGCACCAGGTCCTTCTAAAAGGCTAGAAACAGGCCAGTCTATGAGGGGCCCACAGGGGCCAATGCAAGAGAGCAACAGGAAGAACTTAGGAAGACTATCAATCAGCGACAATATAAAGGGCACAGTCAATGTTCAGGCCAGCCTGGGGAGAGGAGGGAGGGAGGACCTACCACATACGACCCACCCAAGCTGGAGAAGAGAAAACCACCAGGGTACCGCACAGCAGAGAATCCCAGCATGAGGGCATAACATAGGCACACGAAGAGGGTACCAAACCCAGAGGATTAACTAATGGCTGCCTTTCTGCAGGTCATCTCTATGCCTCGTTTTCCCACCTGAGGGTCTGCACCTCACAGAACTATGTATGCTGAGCCTACAGTAAAACAAGCAAAGCACTAAGTACAGTGCTTGAACAGTAGTAAGTTCTCAAAAGTATTAGGTCTCATCTACCCTATATAATAAAAGCCTAACATGCAAATCAACTGAACGGAGGAATGACTGGTGGAACAACCAGTCACCATGACATTCACTGACCACTAGGGGCAGACACTCAACACAGGAGCTTCCCCCCCCCCCCCGCAGGCCTCAGTGGGGGTCCCCCAATAACCCCATGGTGGGGGATAGGGCTAGTGAGCAGGTGGCACCAGGCTGGCCAAAGTGGGTGCCATCACTGTTTCCCCCCCCCCCCAAGATCACCCCACCCGTCACCCCACAGATTGGCCCTGATCACTGGCCAGGCTTAGGCACCCTACCCATGCATGAATTTTGTGCCAAAACCGGTTCGGCTCAATGGATAGAGTGTCAGCCTGCGGACTGAAAGGTCCCGTGTTCGATACCGGTCAGGGGCATGTACCTTGGTTGTGGGCACATCCCCAGGAGGCAGCTAATCGATGTTTCTAACTCTTTATCCCTCTCCTTTCCTCTCTGTAAAAAATCAATAAAATATATTTAAAAAAATTTTTTTTTTCATGCATCAGGCCTCTACTGGTAGTAATGTATAAAAGTGTAAATGACTGTTTGACCAGGAGCTATTATGTGTACTGACCACCAGGGGGCAGACATTCAATGCACAGGCATGGAAACATGGAACAAATTGATGGATCTCAGAGGGGCCGGGGGAGGGCAGGAAGAGATTAACTAAAGATCTTATATGCATACTAGAGGCCTGGTCCATGGATTCATGAACCGGTGGGGTCCCTTGGCCTGGCCTGGAGGGATTGGGCTGAAACCAGCAGTCCAACATCCACAAAGGGGTCCCAGATTGCAAGACTCTGGTGGTCAGTGCACATCATAGCTACTGGTTGAACTGTCACTTAGAGCATGAGATGAATCCATGCACCAGGCCTCCAGTATTTCAATAAAAAGCTAGTTATTAGCCAATATTATTACACCCAAGAGCTCTGAGGCTTTGCAAAAGTATCTAAAGAAACTCAGGACTGGGTGAGATGGAGGCTGGAAGTATGGAGCCTTCTAGGAAATGATCTGAAACAGCTTCGAGACTGGGGACAGGGAGACTGTTGGATGTAACATAGAAGAGCAGAAAGGAAGCAATCAGGGGACTGCAGCCCCAGCGAGGGCCTTGCCACAACCATCCTCTGCCCTCAGATGGAAGCATGTAAGGACCCAAGCTCCAGGAGCCGGCAATCACTGCCCTCTCCTGAGATGTGCTCCCAAAACTGTGTTTGAGTTCAAGAGGAATACCCTATTGTTAAAGCTGGCCTTGCAAAAACCTCACCCCAGCCCTGCTTTGAAGTTAGAGCAAGGGTGGAGAGTCTGTCCTACACTGAGCAGGGACTGAGGCACATGGTCCACGATGCCCACTCCAACACCACCTGCTCACATGGGGTCCAGACCGCTCTACCCGAGGTTGCTCCGTGTGCAGTGCTGCTGGCGCAGGGTACAGGTTCAAAAGTGACCTGAACAAATAGCCTTTCAGCACAGACAGATCTCCTACTAACTCCAGAACCTGAGCAACTGAGTCCAACTAGAGACAGAAGTAATCATTCTTATTGCAGCATTAGCTGGGTTATGTGATTGTTATTTACAAAATGGAGACAAAATATTGAGAATATAAAATGTGGGGAAAATAGACACTCTCCTCAATGTCATTGCAGGGAGCAACCTGCCAAGGAGCAGGTGAAAGAGACAGGTCCTGGGCAGCCCACAATGGCAGCTCAGGACATGTGAGAGCTGGCTCGCAGCTTGGTGTGAGCACAGAAGGACTTTGAGAGATCTGGCAGCTTCTGATCATTTGTGTATCAGCTTTCCTGCCTCAAGTGGGAGCACCAGTGCCTCTAAAAACAATGCTTGAGGCAGGATGGGGAGTTATGACATTACTTCCCAGTGAATAACAACCAATAGCCCCTAGAGTGGAATGCCCAAAATAAAGAAAGCGTTATTACTAATAATAGCTCTTTTGGGAACTTATCTTGGCGTTATCCTTACAAACATGTTAATGGTGTCTAGGTAAGATTACTCATTGTGAATTGTTTTAACAGCAAAATCTGGAAGCAATCAAATGTCCATCAGGAGGAGGGTGTTAAATAAATTGTAGCAAAGTGGTATAGGAATGGGGTAGGTGAAGCTGCAGGTGCCCTCCAAGTACTGGGCAGATCAAAATATATATTAAAAGGAAAAAAAAGGCACAGAATGGTGTTCTTATATTGTACCTTTTGTGTAAAAAAAAAAGAGAGGGAGATAAGAAGGATTATTTATCTATTTATTTTAAATACATTTTATTGATTTTTTACCGAGAGGAAGAGAGGGGCAGAGAATTAGAAACATCGATGAGAGAGAACCATCGATCAGCTGCCTCTTGCACACCTCCTACTCGGAAGCAAACATGGGACCTTTTAGTCTGCAGGCCGACGCTCTATCCACTGAGCCAAAACGCTTCGGCAGAAGGATTATTTAGACATAATTAAGAGCAGTCGTAACATACAGAGGGTTTTGGAACTGGGCTAATAGGGGACAAGGATTAAAAATAGGACTTCCTGAATATATACCTTCTTATCATTTCTAGGTTTTAAATTCAGGCTTAAGAGATTTGAATGTATTAATGACCAAAATATTAAATTTAAAAATTTAAAAATTATAGGACTAAAGTTGTATATACATATCCTTGAATATAGACAATTCACAAAGGAAACTGCTAAGTGTGGCTGCCTTTCTGTCAGGGGCTAGAGTAGGGAGGGAAGACTTAGTTTTGCTATAAACCCTCTTGTACCATTTGTATGTTTTTAAAATTTTTAAAAAATGAATTGATGTGAGAGAGATTGATTGATTTAATTGTTCCACTTATTTCTGTATTCATTGGTTGATTCCTATATGTGCACTGACCAGGGATGGAACCCTCAACCTTGGGGCACTGGGATGATGATCCAACCAATTGAGCTACCTGGCCAGGGATATACATTTATATTTCTTGTCACATGCTTGTATTCTTTTTTGTTGTTGTTAATACTCACTTGAGGATATTTTTTCATTGATTTTTTCAGAGTGGAAGGGGGAAGAGGAAGAGAGACAGAGAGAAACATCGATGTGAGAGAGACTCATTGACTAGCTGTCTCCTGAACACAATCAATCAGGGCCGGAGAACCTGCAACCCAAGTACCTGCCCTTCCCTGGGAATCGAGCCCATGGCCCGTGGTGTGCACACCGACTCTCTAACCACTAAGTACCCCGACTGGGCTAGCTGTATCATTTTAGACAAGTTACTTTTTTTGCTTTTATATAATTAACAAAATGTTTAGCTGGGCACATGGCTGACAAGTAAAGAAGTACATTTTCTAGACTTCCTTAAGCCTGGCGTGGCCCTAAGACAAGAGTTCCAGCCAGCGGGACAGTTTCTAAGTCAAGTCCTTAAGGGGGAGAAATGTCCTGTCTTCCTCTTCTTTTCCTTCCTTCTCCTCTGGCTGAATTCTCGATGGTCCATGAGCCACCATGGACCACAGGGACAAGAACAAACTCTAGGGATGGCGGGACCCTGAAGACAAGGAGGAAAGCTGTCCACCCTGGACTGTTAGGTAAGGAGAAGTACACTCGTAGTGGAGAGAAACCTGTTCTCCCTCTACCGGAGCAGCCAGCATGGAGGAGTGTGGGCAGAATAAGACAGAGAAACTGGGCCGTGGTGAGATATTTTTGGGCCACACATTAGCTTCAAATCAGCCCTTGTCTGACCACACAATTACACAGACCTGTCCTCCTCCTCCATGGCTGTTGTCTGCTCTGTCACCGGAAGTGTTCTGGTACTGTTACAGTAAGCAACAGTTTCACCTGCGCCTTTCAGCTAAGGAAACGATGCTCACACAGGTGTAGTAACTTGGCCAAAGTGAGTCCATCTGGGCAGGTGAACTACCTGGGAGTAACAGGTGGAGCAGAATGGAACCCAGTGGGTCCAACCCGGAACCTGAATGCATCATCTCTTCCGGGAGAGCCTGGCTCCTCTGGGCTCCCCTCCTACCAAGAGCGTTGGTGAGCGATTAGCTCCTCCAAACCTCTCAGTGGCCTCAGGTTGTGCTGCGAGCCCAAACGCCCATCCTTGGGGTAAAGGGGACCAAGCGGGGGAGGGGGAAGAGGGTACAGAACCTTGAGCTTGGCCTGTGGAAACTCACCTCAGCACGTGCTTGGCAATCACATCCACCTGCTCTGAGATGGCATCCAGCTGTGTTCGACCCACAGCAGGGCGAGTCCACAGGAAGGAGTGTGCCGGGGAGACCAAATCCTGCAAGCGGCAAATGTGACCCTGGAGGAAGAGGCAGCCATTCAGTGCGCTGGGGACAGGGCTGACACGCTGGAAGGAGGGATGGGGGGGGCCTCCACGCCCTTGGTCTCCCGGAGCTCCCTGCCCCACCTGTCTCAGCAGGAGGATCCTCTCCACATTGGCTGGGTCCAGGACAGCCCTGTCTGGCAGCTGGCTCCCAAATGCCTCCTCCACGAGCAGCTGCAGCTTCTCCACCAGCTGGCGCCTCTGGGTCTCATCGCTCACCAGCCGACGAAGATGCAGCCTGGAGGAAAGCCAAAGGAGTTCTCCACACTTACAGCAGCAAGGGACCTGGCCGAGGTCTGAAACAGGTGGCTTGGGGGCCCAAACACACGGAGACATGCTGCTTCTAAAATAGTAGCTAACATGCCCTAGCCAGTTTGGCCTTCGGTCTGAAGGGTCCTGGGTTTGATTCTGGCCAAGGGCACATACCTTGGTTGCAGGCATGATCTCCAGCCCCGGTCAGGGCACGCCTGGGAGGCAATCAATGTGTCTTTCTCTCTCTCTCTCTCCCCCCATCCCTCCCACTCTCCATTCTAAAACAAGAACAAAAACAGGGTGCGGCCAGGCCCGGAGGAGCAGCAGCCACGCCCGGGGCAGCCAGGTCGGGAGCGGCAGTGGCCAGACCCGGAACAGCTGGTTGTGGAACGGGACCAGAGCAACAGAGGCCAGGCCCGGAGCAGCCAGGCTGGGAACAGCTCGCTCCTCGCCTGCCTCCGCCCCAAGGCTCTCAGACATGGCTGGAAACTTTTGGGGGAACTTGAGGGTCTGCTGAATCAAATGAGGAAGGCTTAGATCTGGAGGTGTTGAGTCAGTATAGTGCTGGGGTGTTGATCTGTGAGTGCCTTGTGTGGGGCCTGGAAGAGGTTGGTGGATCTATTTGGAAATGTCTTTTGTGTGAAGTGTATCCTTGGGCATGTGGAGGTATTATTGATTTGAGAAAATGCTAAGTAACTGATTTACTATCTGAAAAATTTAAAGTTCTGAATGTTTAAGGTCTCTTGCCAAAAAGAGGTTTTAAAGCTAACACCTTAATTTTAATGGAGAAAGGGAATGACAAGCCCTTCCCACCCAGAACAGGTAATCCAATTTCAACCAGCAGCTATGTTTAAACAATGTGTCCATTTACACTTGAATGGCTACACCTTTTGATAGCCTAAGGGCAAGTTTACATGTAAACAAGCTTGCTCTCAATTCCCAGGGCAGAAAAAAACAAAACAAGGTTTAAAATTATTAGATTTTAAAATTTATTCTTAGAAGTGTAAAAGTTTATTAATTAAAAACAACAACAAAAAAAAACAACAACAAAAAAAAGGAGACTAAAAAACCTGATGAACAATAATAGCGGTTCATTGTAGTAGAGTCAGCGATATGGGAGGGGAGTGGACTGACTGTTCTCGGGGAAAGGGAGGGAGGAAGAGACTGAACATAAACTGTGCACCTATGGATGAGGACAGTGGGGGGGGTGGGAACCTGGTGGAAGAAATGAGGAACCTTTGTAATAATATGAACAATAAAGATTGATTTAAAAATAAATAAATAAATAAATAAATAAATAATACTAAACAAAAATAAAAAATAAAGCAAGAACAAAAACAAAAAACAAAACAAAAAACAAAGGAAAAATATCCTCAAGTGAGGATTAACAACAATCTGTGACCAAGGACCAGTAGCTATAAAGCTCTCTGACCCCCATGCGGCAGATGTTCAATGCTGGAGCTGCCCCCTGGTGGTCAGTGCGCTTCCACAGCCAATTTCCTGCATATCCTACTCCTGGATGGCTGGCCAGATCAGTTTGATTGGGACTGGGTTTCAGGTTCAATCTCTGGTCAGGCACATAAAAGAATCAACCAATGAATGCATAAATAAGTGGAAAAACAAATTGACGTTTCTCTCTCTCCCCTTCTAAAAAGAAAAAAATGGATCATTCAATAGAAGGAAAGATTTCCGACATCCCCGTGCCCCCTGCTTCAGTTGGCTTGAGCAGAGTAGAAGTTGCCCAGTTAACAGAGATTTCTGGTTTGCAGTCTTGGGCACTCACACAATGAGGGCCCAAGGAGAGCCAATCCCTCAGTGCTCCAGGGAAGGTGGCAAGGATTCGCTGCTCCTCAGTGTTGGCGGGTGACATGACAGTGCTCCTCAGTGTTGGCGGGTGACATGACAGTGCTCCTCAGTGTTGTGGGTGACATGAGACAGTGCTCCTCAGTGTTGGCCAGGAGGTCGGGGGGTCAGGGGGAGGGGAGATGTTCTTAAATGAGGGCTTTGGCAGTCAACAGAACCCATATGAGGGGTTCACAGAAATAATCCTACCTTATAAAAAAGTAATATGCAAATTAACTATCACTCAGCTCCACAAATCACACCCAGCAGCCAATCAGAGTAAGTATGCAAATTAATCCAATCAAGATGGCTACAGCCACAGAGAGCAGGAAAGAGGCATTTCCTTGGCAATGGAGGAAGTCAAGCTTTCCACCTGTCCTTGCCGGCCTAAGCCTCCACTCAAGGCTACAACGTTTAATTATAGAAGGTAAACAAATCCAAACAGAAATGGCTGCCACCCCTGAGCAGGAGGCTTGGTTCAGCTCCAGGCTACAAAGTTTCAATTGTAGAAAGTAAATATGTCCCAGATACCAGGCCTCCACTTGGGTAGCCGGGGGGCGTGGCCAGCCTGCAAACCACCATAGGCCCCTCGCCCAGGTCGCCCCACGCCCCAAGGGAACCCCTATCCTGATCCGGGACACCCTTTAGGGCAAACCAGCTCGCCCCCCACCCATGCACCAGGCCTCTATCATATCTAATAAAAGAATAATATGCAGATTGATCACCACTCCAACACACAATATGGCTGTCCCTTTGTGGTCAAAGATCCTGCCCTTATGTGGACACAAGATGGCCAGCAGGGGAGGACAGTTGGGAGGGACTAGGCCTGCAAGGGAGGGTAGTTGAGAGGGACCAGGCCTGCAAGGGAGGACAGTTGAAGACTATCAACCCTGCAGGGGAGGGCAGTTAGGGGTGACCAGGCCAGCAGGGGAGGGAAGTTGGGGGCAAACAGGCTGGCAGGGCAGCAGTTAGACATCAATCAGGCTGGCATGGGAGTGATTAGGAGGTGATCAGGCTAGTAGGCAGTAGTGGTTAGGGGCAATCAGGAAAGCAGGCAGGCAAGCAGTTGGGAGCCAGCAGTCCTGGGTCTCGGCCTAAATAGGCAGTTGGACATCCCTCAAGGGGTCCCAGATTGGAGAGGGTGCAGGCTGGGCTGAGGGACAACCCCCTCCCTGGCTCTGTGCACGAATTTCATGCACCAGGCCACTAGTGGCAACGATAAAAGAATACCTACCACGGTCAAGCACTTTCTATGTGCTGGGGGCTGCGCAGATACTTTGATGCAATGCTGAATTTAACTCAACTCTTTTTTTCCTTCCCTCTCCCCACCTCTATTGATTAAGGAATTACAAATGTGTCCTTATCCTCCCATTGCTCCCCTCGAGTGCCCTCCTCCTCCAATTCAACTCTTAAAACAATTGCACAGGGTGGGAACTCTTAATAGCTCTGTTATAGAGAAGAGGAAACAGAGGCCTGAAGAGGTGAGGTGACTGGTCCCACAGCACTAAACACATGAGCTCATAGTCAGAATCAGGTGTAAGTGACTCTGGAGCCCACAGGACCCTCTGTGAGGACCCACCATCAGCAAGAAAGCCCTTTTCCACCAGGCCTCTCTAGTTCCCCACTCACCTGTTGAATTCTGGGAGCTTCTCCAGGTCTAGTAGGGCTGAGTGGCAGGTGATCCGGGTCAGATCAAACTGGGCTACCAGCTCTGGCAAGGTCCTGCCCATCTGGTTCTCTGCAAGTGAGGGAAGCCCAGCACTCAACTCCCTCCTTAACATTCAACTCCAAGGGAGGCTGAGTGAGCACTGGGCTCCCTATCCCATTTTCACCAAAGGGATTCAATCTCTAGCTATTTTTACATCAAAGGTCAAAATGAACTTACACTTGCAGAAAGGCTTGTCATTAAGGAAAAAAATGGTTTAACCACACTCACTGCCCTCAGAGACATGAGCTGCAGGGACGGCACCCACTGTCTGGCCATCCTGAGACCCTGACCCCGCTGGTCCGGGTGGGGTCCAGCACCAGTGCTCTGAGCTTCCGGGTGAGTTTAAGAGCAGCCAGAGTTGAGAGCGGCTGTGCGGGGCTGCTTCTCCGGAGCACTGCTGTCCCACTGGGCATTGTGGGGGCTTCAGCCGAAAATAACCTGTCACGTCCCCTATCAGCTGGGACACTGGCAAATTCCCTAACTTCCCAATCCTCTTATAAACAGTGCAGATCACACCTCCTAAAGATATTTTAAGGATTAAACTAGGGCAAAATAAACAATAAGCAGACTATTGCCTTATTTTCAGACATCTCCCCCACAAAGAGGTCATCCTATCCTATTTGGTGCTTCTTTAAGATTTGGGCTCTAAGTCTGAGGCAAGGACAAAGGCTTAGCTTTGAATGAACTATGGTCCTGCACCCAAGACCCGGCGCCTCCCTGCTGTGGCCCCCCGGGAGCTCTCGGGTGAGTGGATACCTGCGAACCCGGAGCCACAGTTAGTGATGATGTCGAGCAAGGCATCTGGCAGGAAGCCGGCAGCAGCAAAACTCTCCAGGAAAATGTCCCCTTGCCTCTTGGACAGCTTACTGCCGTCCCTGTTGAGGAGCAGGGGCAGGTGGGCAAAGTGAGGTGGCGGCCAGCCCAGGGCCCGGTAGAGCAGCAGGTGCTTGGAAGTGGAGACCAGCCACTCGGAGCCACGCAGCACATGGCTGATGCCCATGTGGTGATCATCCACCACGCAGGCCAGGTGGTACGTGGGGAAGCCATCGCTCTTCAGGATGACCGGGTCCCCCTCCACACTGGCTACTTCATGCCGATTCCAGCCGTACACCAAGTCCTCGAAGGCTGGTGCCTCCTCCTGCAGGCGAAAGCGGATAGCAGGCCGGGGGTCCTTGGCCAACTTCTCAGCTACCTGCTTCTGGCTCAGGTTCCGGCACCGATTGTCATATCTGTTGGGAGACAGGTATGACACTGATGATCTATGTCTCTGAAGACCACATGGATCTTGGTAAAAGAAAGCCCCCTTCTGTCGGTGGGTAAGTCCAGTGTTGACAATGAAGAAGCAGTGCTGCAAGGGATGTCGTGAACTTATCCAAACATCCGAGCCCTTGTGCAAACAGCCCGCTGAAACTGGACTAAGTCATGAAGCCACCGCTGATGGAGTGCAGCTAGTGCAGGGCCATCAGGCAGCACTTCCTGGAAGGTCTCTAACAACACACCGCATGTATGCAAATGATGCCAGTCACATCATTTGTTACAGCTTCCTCTTCAAAAACATGCACACATATTTTTATTGATTTCAGAGAGGAGAGGGAGAAAGAGAAACATCAATGATGAGCGAGAATCATTGATCAGCTGCCTCCTGTATGCCCCACACTGAGGATTGAGCCCTGATTGGGAATCTTGCGGTGACCTCCTGGTTCATACGTTGGTGATCAACCATTGAACCATACTGGCCAGGCACAGCTCTCTTTTTCTTAATCTTCACCCAAGGATATATTCTTATTGATTTTCAGAGAGAGAAATAGAGAGAGAGGAAGAGAGGGAAAAAAAAACACATCAATGTAAGAGAGAAACATTGATTGATTGCCTTCCACATGTGTCCAGACTGGGATTGAACTCACAACCTAGGTATGTACCCCGATCAGGAATTGAACAGACAACCTTTCGGTGTATGCAACCAACTTGGCTAGGGCATAGCTCTCTTTTTTTTTTTAATAACTAATACTAGAAATGACATAAAGGTTCATTATTAAGGAATTGATTAAGTAAATTATGGTATATCCATACAATGGAATATCATGTAAGCTTAAAAAAAAAAACTGTGGCCCTGACTGGTTTGGCTCAGGGCCTCCGGACTGAAGGGTCCCAGGTTCGATTCCGGTGAGGGACATGTGCCTTGATTGTGGGCACATCTCCAGTGGGAGGTGTGCCGGAGGCAGCTGATCAATGTTTCTCTCTCATCGATGTTTCTGACTCTGTCCTTTTCTCTCAATATATAAAAATATCAATAAAATATATTAAAAAACAAACAAACAAAACCTGTGAACTAAAAAAACAAAACAAAAATTTACAAAACAAAAAAACCTGTGGACAGATACAGACTGACCCTTGAGACAAGAAGCTGCACAGTCCTCACTGTGTGCTACCATTTGAGGGGGAAAGAGAAATAACAGGCACGTGTCAGTGTGTGTACTGAATGTCTCTGCAGGAGACACGAGCAAATTCTACCACCAGCTGTCTCTGGAGAGGACTGAGTAGGTAGAGCCAGCATTGGGAGAGAGCTTTGTGTGTGTATTTTCCTGAACATGAGAAAAATCCTACTTTGTCAAAATAACAAGTAACTAAAACTACTTGATGTGTTACTCCCTAGGACCGAAGGCGGTTGGCAGCTCAGACCTGGCCTTTGAGCCCCACCTGCTGGTCTCTGTCCTTGTGCCATCTCCTTCCTGTGAGTATGGGCTGGACCTGGTGACTTCCGCCTAATGAACAGGGTACAACCAAAGCGATTCTGGCTTCTGCCTCGCTCTCTTGCTTCTCCCTGGTCTCTCTGAGGAAAGCCCGCTGCTATGCTGTGAGCTGCCCTATGGAGAGGCCCACGCGGCAAAGAGCGAACGTGTCCAGGCAACAGCCAGGACGCCCGGCGGTCTGCAAGCTGAGCCTTGGGGGCAACCCTGAGCTAAAGGTCCAGGTGAGCAGTGCCCAGCGTCCTGACCCATAGAAACTATGAGACCATAAAAATTTGGGGTAACTTGTTCTGCAGCAACAGCTAACAAACACACCCGACTTTGGGTGGCAGCACGACAGGCTGGGGCTCTCACCGGGGTGTCTGGTGGTTCCTCAGGGCCTCCTTCTTCAGCAGCTCCAGCCGCTGTGAAGAGCAGAAGCAGGGGTAAGCAGCCCCAGTTTTCAGCAGAGCTTCCGTGGCCTGGGCGTACAGCTCCAGCCGCTGGGACTGCAGGTAGGGCCCCCTGGGGCCTCCCCGATGTGGGCTCTCATCAGGGGGGATGCCTGGAGCACGGAAAGGGAGGAATCACCAATTAATAAGATGCATGCGACACTGGCTCTCGGGCACTGCTCTAGGGCTAGGCAAACAGAGTAGAACTTTTAGTCCAACAACGTGCGAGTTCAGCACTACCACGATTTCCCTTTCGCAGGTGGAAATTCAAGCACAGAGGTTCCATGCTCCACGCCACGCAGCCTGGTGGATGAGGAGTCAGGTGGAGGCATGCTGGCTCCACGTCCACACTCCCAAATGCATTTCTTCTTCCATCCCCTTTTCCCTGGGGAGGGGAAACCGGCCCAGGCCTGGACCAGCTGACTCAGGAGGAAGAGTGTGGTTCAGGGCACAGCCATCACACTGGACTCTGGGCTTTGTCTGTGACAAGGGATCCAGAGTGCTAGAACCTGCCAGCCGTCTTTCTATTCTGTGATCTTCACTAAGCCTCAGAACCACCATACCAGGCAGATGTCATTATTACCCCCATTCATTAACGAGGACTCTGAGGCACAGAGGGACTTTGTTAGGTTACTTGGCCAAGAATAAGGGGCACAACTGGATTCAAACCCAGGTGAGCTGGCCCTGAAGACAAGCTCTTTCCACTCCCTGCACTGCCTCTTTGCATTCCCTTTTCTGAAAAGTGCAGCTGACAGCTTACTGTGCAGAGTGACTGAGAACTAAAAGCATCAGTGGGCCCTGGGCGGTATGGCTGATGTCTGGACATTCCATGCACTGAAAGGTTGCTAGTTCGATTCCCAGTCAGGGCACTTGGGCTGTGGATGTATGCAGAAGGCAGCAGTGTCAGTGTTTCTCTCTCTCCCTCTTTCTAAAAATCAATAAAAAATACTTTTTAAAAAGCATCAGTGCTCACAAAGCACATAGCCCTCTAGCAGCTGCACTGCTAGATTATCAGCCAAACCCCGGCCCAAGGTCTGGTTCCAGGTCACAGAGGACATGCTCAACTGTGAACGCTCCAGGAGAGGGCAGAAGGGACACCGAAGAGTTGAATGATAGCCATTCTGCCCTCCAAAAGCTTTCAGATGAACTCGGGGTAATCCCGCACACCCGGTGCTCACACAAATTCGGGAGGAGACGCCCGGGTTGGACGCACTGGCCAGCACTGAGACCTGGGCGAGTCGCCTTTCAGAGCTCCATGTCCTCATTCGTCAGCACCCCGCGTGCCCGTGCAGAGCCCACATGCGGCCAGCGTTCTCTCCATGGCCCACACACCCCATTGCTCTGCCTGCTCACTGTGCTTGGGCCGCTGTGGCCTTCGGCTGCCCCTCTAGGGGACTTAGCTTCTGTGGGGCCTTCGCATCTGCAATTCGCTCTGCTTTGAACACTCTTCCCCTGGGTAACCTTGGGGCTGGTGCTCACTCTGTGCAAGTCTCTGCTCTAGCGAGCACCCCTCCCCACAGGTTCCCTAACCTGCTGCCCTTTCTCCATAGCACTCATCACCATTCAGTATCACAGGGATGAATTAATCTGTTTGCCTGTCTCCTCTACTTACTGAGCACAGGGTCTCTGCTCACTGGTGGAATACTTCCTGGGTCACAGTAAATGACCTTGTTGGATTATTCAGCTAATCTCGACCTAGTATCTGGTACAGCCCTCTATGACAAAAGACAGAAATGAAATTGGCTTCTGCCCTTTAGGAACCCTGAGATTAAAATACACATCTCAAAACAGTCCTGGTATTTTTTCTTGGGGAGCTTAGCTAGTCATACCTGTCCCAGCAGGTAGGCAACATCACATGCCTCCTTGTCCTCCCTGAACTTGGCTGTGCTCAGGATCAAACTTCCCATAAGAAAATCCACTTCAGAGGCTGATAACATTTTCTTTCATTCTTTCACTCATATAATGTGGTTCAAAGCCCTCAAAAACCTGAGCTCAGATTTCACAGTGGGAAATATTCACTGAGAAACAACAGAACCCTGGGGTTGTGTCTTGTCTTGGAAGGCAGAAGATTTGACAAGCTGGGCCAGCATCCCCACTGGGGAATGCAGGGCTGAACTTCCGCTCACCACAGGTCCAGCTCCCCAGGCCCACCCTACACTGGGCTGTACCAGGCCTGCCTGCTCCTAGGAGGACTTGAGATTCTGGGATAAGAATAGGGATCAAAACAGCCTGGAGCTTTTCCTCAGGGAGCTTAAATCTTTTCAGATGGCACTTGCACCCCAGGCAGCACAAACGCCCCCATCTCTCCAGGAATCCCTTGTTCTCCCTCCTGGGCACTGTGGGAAGGCTGCAGGTCCTTTCCCAGCCAGCCTCACCTGCCCACTCCAGCATGTCCTCGATATTGTCCGCTGCCCCGGGCACCAGGCGGGTCTGGTCCGTGTCCTCCAGCCGCAGAATAAAGCTCCCTCCGTGCTTCTTGGCAAAGAGGTAGTTGTACAAGGCAGTGCGGAGGCCACCCAGGTGCAAGAAGCCTGGCAGAAAAGGACAGTCAGACAAGTCAGGGAATGTGCTGGCGAGCCTCAGTTGAGGGGCAAGCAAGCTGTTTGTAACAGAATGTCTCAAAGAACATCAAGTATCCAAGAAACCACTACCTCCGTCCCATCTCTCCAGCTAGCACCTAGACAGTCAGACCGCAGGGAGGACGGGGTGATGACTCATTTGGCCCCTCTTTCTGGAACAGGCAGACCACCCACGGTTGGCATACCTGTCCCAGCACGTAGGTAACTGTTGACCCAGGGAACATTTTGTAAAAAGGTTCCAACTCCCTCCAAATATCCACCACTCTACTATGAGATCTGCCTCAAGGTCAAGTTTCATCCAAAGGAGGAGAGGCAGAGGCTGAGTCACTGAAGCTACTGTCACTGAAGCCACACGTGCATTTAATTTATGCAAATTCAATGATTTGCTTGGGGAAAAATACCCCATTTAAAATACCATAAAAATAAAATACCATAAAATAATATTTTTATATACACCCTCTACGCACTAGACTATCCTCATTATATATTTTGAATTTTGTCCACTTGAGATTTTTACATTAAGTGCTGGCTTTACACTCAAACCAAAATTAATGTTTGAGTCCATATTTCTCTTCACCTGAGTTTAAATTCTTAAGATTTTGCTTTTCCATCCTTCTTGACTGACAACTTAAAATGAACAATTTTCCCAGGGCTATTTCCTCTTAACCTGCCTGCCTAGGTTTAGCCCACAGCCCTGTCTGCACAATGAGCTCACCTGCACCTCCAAGTTCAGGAGACAGCACAGCTCCCTTACGGTCAGGCAGACTCATGTCAACAGATCATGTGTGACCTCCAGCTGACTATTGCAAGGCCACCATAAAACCAGTGGTCCCAAGATAGAAGACAGGTCTAGCAGTTAAAAGTGAAACCTCTTATAGGTACACAGACCTGGATTCAAATTCTGCTTCACCATTTATTAGCTGGCACCCCTTGGGCACTCGACTTAATATGTATGAGCTCCATTTCCTCATCTATGAGAGGAATTAAAAACACAAAATAGAAACCTTCCTTATTGGGTTGCAGTGAGGCCTAAATGCTGACCAAAGAATACCCTTCAGTTAATTTTAGCTATCGTAATGATCTGTGTTGCTTGATAATCCTTTTATCTGCTTGTACTCATATGGGCTTCTCCTGCAAATCAGCAAACACTAATCACAACAAAGAAAACACTAATAACAACAAATTAAAATAGAGGCTACTTTATTAAGTGCTTTCTATAAGTACCAGACCTTGTTAAATGCCTCAGCTACATTATTTCAAACCCATGAGCAGGGTACTATTGCTAGGCCTGTTTGACAGATAAAACTCAGAGCCTCTGAGTAATTTCCCTAAGTCACACAGCTCGGAGGAAGTGGCAAAGCCAAAAATTTGTACCCAATCTCAGGCTTTGGCACCCAAACCAGTGCTGGTCTTCACACTGTTGCAAGGAAGCACAGAAATTGAGAGCAAAATGCTGAGAGCAGCACTTTGACAGAACAATTTTGTTTAATTAAAGATAAAGTAGGCTTATATTTTGTATGCTTTTTAGGTTTTCATTTTTCTAGCAATCCACTTATTTTGATTTTATAAAAGTATCGATCCATAATCCCGTCGCTCTGTGCAGATAGGATCTTGCCACAAAGGTGGCCTTGTATACTGACCCTGGGTTTCAGGAGAGGCGCGTTCATTGTGGAGAAGGCAGAAGCAGCCCCTTGAGAAAAGAGTTTTGGGAACTGGTTGGTTAATCAAGAAACAGGGCTCTAACTCAGCAGGGGCTAAAAAAAAAAAGAAGGCTCAGTTCTGGGAACTGGTGGGGAGGCCCTGACAAGATCTCCACTAGACTGTACAATGGCCCCTAACTCCCTTTGGCTTGCTTAGCTCCAACACTAACCGCAGGGCCTGTGTACCTGCAATTTCTTCTGCTCAGAAGGTTCCTCCTACATGCTACATTCCTTTCATTTGGTTATCAGCTCTAATGTCACCTCAACAAAATGTTCATCCTACCTGTCCTAAACTAACCCGTCACCTCTCCTGCTTCATTTCCCACATGGCACACGTGACTGCCTAAAATTACAGTATTTTTGTACACGTCTGTCGCGGCCACCAGAGCAGGGGCCCTACTTTCTAGATGGTCGTTGTATCGCAGCGGAACAGAACCTCGCAGTTTGCACTTGGTACACATTTACTGAATACGTAAAGAAGAGACCGAAAGAGATGGGGCAATCCAATAAACACAATGAAATTCCTGCAACGCGAACAATTTCCGCTCCTGGACCTGTTCCTGGCCCTGCAAAATGGGGTCCTGCGGCCCTCGCATTCTAACTCCACCGGAAGGGGTTCGCTGGAAAACGTCCTGGGGGCGGGCCCCGGACCATGGCTTCGGCCCGCAGCGTCACATCCCCTAAGATTACCTGTGGGGCTGGGGGCGAACCGCACTCGCACCGCAGCCCCAGAACCGGGGCCCAGGCTGGCCTCACGCCGTCCCAGGGAGCGCCCCCACCCTCCCGGGGGCCTCCCCGGCTGCAGCAGCGTCCTCAAGAGCACCGCCATGTGGGTCCGACTCATCCACGTGGGCTTCTCCGAGAACCACTTCCGGGACTCCTCCCGGCCAATCCGCTTCCGCCCCACTGGGCCCAACCCCGCCCCTTAAAGGCGCAGCCACTTAGCCTGCGAGCCCACGCCCCCTGCTCGGCTGCGGCCCGGCTCGGCCGCTAGAGGGCAGAGCCCCTGGAGCGGGCGACTTCCCGGGCCCTGCCCCCTCGGCCGCGGAAAGCTAAAGCGTGGCAGGGGCCGAGCCCGAGAAGCGGAGGAGGCGGGTCTCCATAGAAACCTCCACCTGTTTCCGGTTAGCCGGGGCGAGATTAGGGGCTGCTGCGGGGGCCAATCTCCGCCAGCTCGCCTTTTCCCGGCGGTCCCTGCGGGCGCGGTGGGTGTTGTACACAATCATCATGGCGGCGGCCGGGGCCCCGGATGGTGAGTGTGGCGGGGTGGAGGGCGTCGGGCTGGGCGCGGGTGAAGCGATTGCCCCGCGGGGACGCGGCCTGGCCCGGGGGCTGGTGGTGGGGAGAGCGCGGACTCGGGAGCCGGGGTGCGGCGGCGCCCGCGTGGGGCCGGCCCCAGGCCCAGCCCGCGGCGAGCGCCCACCCCTGCCCCCCTTGCAGGCATGGAGGAGCCTGGCATGGACACGGAGGCCGAGACCGTGGCGGCCGAGGCGCCCGCGCGGCCCCTCAACTGCGTGGAGGCCGAGGCGGCGGCGGGGGCGGCGGCCGAGGACGCCTGTGCCGCGCGAGGCAGCCTGCAGCCGGCCCCGGCCCAGCCCCCGGGGGACCCCGCGGCGCAGGCCTCGGTCAGCAATGGCGAGGACGCGGGCGGCGGCGGCGCGGCCCGCGAGCTGGTGGACCTGAAGATCATCTGGAACAAGACGAAGCACGACGTGAAGTTCCCCCTGGACAGCACCGGCTCCGAGCTGAAACAGAAGATTCACTCGATCACAGGTAGCCCCGTGGCGCGCAGCCCCGCCCGCGGGCCCCGTGCTCACAGGGCCGCCCAAGTGGGTCCTAGGATGCCCACTCCCCAGAAGGGCACCATGAGGCCTGGCATTGTAGAACTAGTAAGTGGCTGGCTGAGCTGGGATCGAAGCCCAGGCCTGGCTCCTAGGCCAGGCTTCTAATTAGTGCTGCCCAAGCATCTCTAATAAAAACCACCTGAGGCACTTGTAAAGTTTACAGCTTCCAGGCTCTTCCGCCCGAGATTTTGAGTCAGTGGGGCTGGAATGTGGCCAGGAGTTTATTTTTAACCGACACCAGGCAGTCTCCTAAGGGAGTCGAGGAAACGCTGCTGGTGACCATCATGCTGGCCCCCTCCCAGGAGTTCCTGTTACTTAATTTCATCTCATTGTCAGCACTTTGCCACCTGCAATGATTTCCCCCTCTAGGCTTGCTCCTCTAGCTTGTAGGCTCCCAAAAAACAAGAACTTAGTCCTTATTGGTTTTTGTATCCCTGAGGCCGGTGGACTCTCGCTTAATATTTGAATGATTGGAAGATTGAGGGACAAGTTGGAATGAATGACAGCTAATTTTTATCCAGCAGTTACTGAATTTTCCAGGAGCTGCACTAAATACTGTTTGTCCTGTCTTGTGGTCCTTAAAACAATTCCATACAGAGGAAACTAGTGTCGTCACTGTTATAAAGATTTGAAACTGAGGCTGAGACAGGTTGTGAATTGCTCAGGTGTGCAAAAGTCGTGGGTGGTAGGGCAGTGCTCTCTTTGGGATCTGTTGTCAAAGTGCTCTGGTCCAAGTGCGTTTTTTCGATTTTCCTTTCACTGTCTGCTGCCTTTTCCCAAGGTCTCCCGCCAGCCATGCAGAAAGTCATGTATAAGGGACTCGTCCCTGAGGATAAGACGTTGAGGGAAATAAAGGTGACCAGCGGAGCCAAGATCATGGTGGTTGGTTCCACGATAAATGACGTTTTAGCAGTAAACACGCCCAAAGACACTGCGCAGCAGGACGCCAAGGCTGAAGAGAACAAGAAGGAGCCGCTGTGCAGGCAGAAAGTGAGTCCGTCGTGTGACTGTTCGTTCTGGGAAGTTTGAGGCGCTGTCCTCTGGAGCCGTGGTTGGTTATATTCTCCCTAGAACAAGCTCCTCTTTGGACAGGGCCCATGATGGAAATTTATGGCAGCAGTTGGGTGCCGCTGGCTGTTGAGTGGAGGTGACAACTACCTGAGATTTGCAACTTTGTCTCATCTGGCGGGTCAGTGTGTCTCAAGTCTTATCTACTTTAGGATAAGGCCTTTGTAAAGGCAGGCTTCAGAGTCAGACACGGGTTTCTCCTGTTTAGTGCCAGAGAAAAATGCCATTGCTAGAACTAATTCCTCATTTTGTGCAAGTGCTTACATTGGTTTTTTTGGTGTGTGGCTTCCCACAAGTCAACAAGCCCATTTCTGGAAAGACATGAACATCAATAGCTTTTAGAGGTTCCTCTAAACTGACCACCTCAGGAAGCCAGTGAAGCTCTAGGAAGAAAACTATGCCGATTCCCCCCCCCTTCCCTGAAATAGGGGCCAGGTTTTCATATTCTGTGGCTCATTTTGGAGGTCAGTGTGTTGCACTGTCAAAGGATGCCAGTTGGAAGAACCATCACTTGTGATCTTGTCACCCACCAGGCCCAGTCATTGTTAGGGAGCCTCCTGGTAGTGTTCTCCTCCTCACCTGTGTCCCAGGGAGAGCATGCAGCTGACCAACACTGGTTTTAGAGGCAGGCAGCAAGGCACATGACCAGCGGTGGGAAGGACATAGTTTTCTGTCACAGTCCATATTCCCTTGTTTATGCATTTCCAAACTCCCAAAATGTGTAAATATGGCAGCAAAACCTGACCAGGGTTAACGTGAATAATCAAGTTTTATCATAAAAATGTTAGTGTGGTTGGTGATAATGTTGCTGCCCCAAACTCTGTGGAGGATATATGACGTATTTTAAAAATATTATATGGCCATACCACCCTGAATGCGCCCGATCTCTTCTAATCTCGGAAGCTAAGCAGGGTCAGGCCTCATTAGTACTTGGATGGGAGACCGCCTGGGATTACTGGGTGCTGTAGGCTTAAGGGGGGGAAAAAATACATATATAAAAACAAAAAGCCATACACACAAAAAAATACCCTAAAATTTTTGGCCTTCATAAAAGTTCAAAACTTTTTTATAACTCCTTATTTTAAACCCCATAAACAGTCCTCTGTTTATGGGATTTGAAATAAGGAGTTGTAGCCCTAACTGGTTTGGCTCAGTGGATAGAGCATGGGCCTATGGGCTCAAGGATCCCAGGTTCGATTCTGGTCAAGGGCATGTACCTTGGTTGCAGGCACATCCCCAGTAGGGGGTGTGCAGGAGGCAGCTGATCAATGTTTCTCATTGATGTTTCTAACTCTATCCCTCTCCCTTCCTCTCTGTAAAAAATCAATAAAATATATTTTTAAAAAATAAGTAAAATAAGGAGTTGTAAATCTGTAATAACATCTAAAAATGTTTATGAGGACACTTCCACTCCCAAATGTGGGGTTAAAATGTCTTATACCCAATAGAGTTCATTTCCATATTCCTGTCTTGCTCTGCCACCTGTGAGGTGTCAGATATGAGAATGCAGATATGAGCATTCCCACTGGCCATAACCTGGGAGCATACATGTCTCTCGAATACAGGCTTTGAGTTACAAATGATCGCTTAACAGGCTTAGAATGTTCCACATGCAGGGGAAATTCTCCAAAAGGTCCTTGTGAAGTCCCAGTCAAATTCAGAGTGGAATCCATGCTGCAGTGTTTAACTCCAGTTACGAGGCATAACGTGGCCTAAAGGGGGCCCCATCTTTGTGACTTTGTCAGCGGCTCAGAAATCTGGGACTGACGTACCGGGGATCCTTTGTTAGCAGTCTGGCCGTCCGGCAGGTCTATTCACAGTGGAGGGATGCTGCCACGCCAGTGAGGCTTATGGCCACCTGGCACTTAACTTGGGTTAATTTTTTACCCTCTGCCCACTCAGTGCCCTGTAGTTGTAGCTTTACTGAACAGTGTCTTTCTACACAGCCACAAATGGGGCGGAAACCAGGTTCACGCATGTGGGCCAGTCAGGAGCTGTTTCAGGGGAGCCTTGCTAGAACCCATAAGGAGCTGCCTCACACTCCTGGGGTGGGCTGGGTTAGAGGCTTTTTTTTTTTTAAATATACTTTATTGAGTTTTTACGGAGAGGAAGGGAGAGGATAGAGTCAGAAACGTAGATGAGAGAAAATCATCAACCAACTGCCTCATGCACCTCCCCCCCACTGATTGATGTGCCCTCAACCAAGGTACATGCCCTTGACCGGAATAGAACCTGGGACCTTTCAGTCCACAGGCCGATGCTCTATCTACTGAGCCACACTGGTTTCGGCTAGAGGCTTCTTTTTTTTTTTTTTTTTAAATATATTTTATTGATTTTATACAGAGAGGAAGGGAGAGAGATAGAGAGTTAGAAACATCGATGAGAGAGAGTCATCAATCAGCTGCCTCTTGCACACCCCCTACTGGAGATATACCCGCAACCAAGGTACATGCCCTTGACCGGAATCGAACCCGGGACCCATCAGTCCCCAAGCCGACGCTCTATCCATTGAGCCAAACCGGTCCTGGCTAGAGGCTTCTTAATAGGGTCAGGCTCTCTCTCGGGTAATCAGCATTGGTCTTGGGGAACACGGTCTTCAGGCTTTGTGTCTCGTTCCGCAGCAGACGAGTCCCATTTATGGGGCGTTGCCCCTTTAGGCAGTTGAGCAGCGCACCAGCATCGGGCCAGGTGTCTTTGGAGTGTAAGTTGGCAGAATTGCTGCCATTTGGATCTTGTCAGGAGAGCAGCACCCTCTGTGGCTCTCAGCTTGGTGTTGAATCCTTTCAGTGGGGCCTGCGGGAGGAAGTGGGCTTTCTTTGAATTACCAGTCTGTAGGTCCTGCTTTCTCTAGAGCTTTGATGTTAAGTGTGGCAGCCAGGTGTGACTGATTAAAATTCAATAAATTCGAGGGTCCATTTCCTCAGGCCTACTAGCCCATTTTGAGCACTTTGTCTACGCTTGCTTCCATCCACACAAGCGTCTGCTGCCCGGGCTGCTCTTTTGTGTCGGAGGCCTTGTCTGTGGGCAGTACAGGCTTCTGAACAGAACATTAGGCTTTCTTCGTCCTGCTTTTCAGAGGACGAAGGTGTACAAAAGTCATGGGTGGTAGGGCAGTGCTCTCTTTGGGATCTATTGTCAAAGTGCTCTGGTCCAAGTGCGTTTTTTCGATTTTCCTTTCACTGTCTGCTGCCTTTTCCCAAGGTCTCCCGCCAGCCATGCAGAAAGTCATGTATAAGGGACTCGTCCCTGAGGATAAGACGTTGAGGGAAATAAAGGTGACCAGCGGAGCCAAGATCATGGTGGTTGGTTCCACGATAAATAATGTTTAAGCTGTAAACACGCCCAAAGACAGCGAACATGCAGTCTACCTTCATTTAATGAGCTCTTTTGACTTACGTTGCAGCAACACAGGAAAGTGTTGGATAAAGGGAAACCTGAAGACGTGATGCCATCAGTTAAGGGGGCCCAGGTAAGCCGTGCTCTGTCGTAAGCACTCTCAGAACCAGGCCTGGCTGCCATCTCATCCTGTCTGTCGTCCTGTATTTGTCCTCCTTTGACTTTGGTCCCTCCCTCTCGCCACAGGAGCGCCTGCCCACAGTGCCCTTGTCTGGCATGTACAATAAATCTGGAGGGAAAGTGAGACTCACCTTTAAGCTAGAACAAGACCAGCTGTGGATCGGCACTAAAGGTACGTGATCGCTCCCGCGCTGGCCGGCTCACTGCCTCTGGCTCCCAGAAGCACTCCCTCCCAAGTGCCAGTCTGCTCCTCATTCTCAAATCTCGGCTCTGGGCTGTGCGCTCCTGGCTTTGCCTTTGCTTTAGATGCTTCTCTTTGGACCTTTTCCCCCTCATTCTGATCTCAGGACCAATCCATCCAACATTGGCTGTCCAGAGGTCCCAGATGTGTGGCCCACAGATGTGGCTGTCCCAGATGTGTGGCCCACAGATGAAGGTTTTGTTTGCTTGCACACGATCTGTAAAACACTGGAGATTGCACTTGATCTGATTTTGGCTTCGTTTGAAAAACATCAGAAGGTTTAGCCGGTCTGGACTTGCATTCTCATGGGTAACCAGCAGCTGGACTGAATAGCAGGTTCATATGGCTGCTACAGTTCCCACTGTCCCATCTCACCTGCCTGTGGCCAGCATCCGTCATTTATGTCACCCACTGGCCTCTGTAGGTCACATTTTAATTAGTGCTGGGGACAACCCTCCCGCCCTGGCTGCCCTCTGCCTGCCCACCGGCCCCTGTGCGTGGAGGGCCAGGCTTGCTGCTGGCTGGGAGGTGCCTGGCTGCTCTCTCCTTCGCCCATGGCTCAGTCTTGCCAGCTGCACTCCAAAGTCCCTGTCTCTTTGCCCCGCCGCTGCACTGCTTAGGACTCCCAGCTTCTCCAAACTTGGTTCTTGAAAGGTTTAGCTTGCTTTCTGCCTGTCTCTGATTTCTTCTGCCCAGCCCACCTCCTGGACTGGTTTTTTTTCTCACTGGTTTTTGTGCTCATAAACCTTTAGCTCTTTAAGGCCAAGTTCAAATGCTTAACCATAGTGGTCAGTGTTCTTAATAAAGGGATTCCCTTTAAATTTGTGACTGTCCCGCTTACCTTGTCTTGCCCTGTGTCCAGCACCACTCACCGAATGTCGCCCACGTGCTCTGCACAGCTCCGTGCCTTTGTTCATGCTGTGTCCTTACCTGCAAGCCTCCTCCCATCCTTGTGAGGAATAAACTCTTCAAGGCCCAACCTAAATGCCCTCCTACGAAGCCCCTGACACATGCCCCCACACCCCTGTTCATAGAGCACTTCACTTATGTCCCAGAGCACTCATCACTCTCCGGCGTGTCTGGCCCTGTTAGATCCGGAGGGGCGGAGCATGCCTAGGGCACCTGTTTCTGCCCGCACTGTAGATGGTCAGTGTTTGAGGTAAACGCTAAAGAGAAGTCCAGGGGTCCTGTCCTCTGAGGCTGATTAGTTTCAGAGACAGGCCATTAGATGATTCTGCTTCAGATGGGACCAACATTTCATGGAAAATAATCAGGGCTGGGTGATGGGGAGTGAGATTTTTATCATCTAAAATATGAAACTAAGTTTCTTGTTTTCACCCCTATCCTGGGTCTTAAAGTGAGCAAAAAATGAAATGCCAAAAACGCTTGAGTCCTCTAACAGTTGTGTGACAAACTACTATATTCTTTCTTCACGTTTGATTCTAACTGCATGATCAGAGCAAGTTTTGCAAACTACTTCAGGGCTCCGCATTCTTCAAGGGCCTGGCCCCTTCAGCAGGTCACTGCCTCCTGCAGAGCCGGTCCCGTCACCCGTCGTTTCTTCAGTGTGAGCCTGCCACCCTCTCGCTTCTCCACGCTCCCAGGTGGTCTGGCGTAGCCTCCATCATTGCGCTGCTAGCTAAAGCCCTGCCTCTTCCGCTTTGGCAGCCTAATGGGAGGCAGACACCTGTGGCCTGGCGGGTAGGTGCAGCCAGGCCGATCCTTAGAGAGTCCTTTTGCGAGAGGAAGGTGTCTGGGCTAGTGAGGACCCCGTGCCTGTGCTGCCTCCTGCTTCACCCTGTGGGAGTGGCCACCCTCTGGCCAAGGAGAGCTCGGGCCAGGAGCCTGCTGGTCGCCAGCCTTGCTAAGGGGCGTGGCCATGAATTTACGTCCTAGGGTCTGCCACGGCCCGCTTCTCGTCCCGCCCAGAGCCCTGTCTCCTTGCACTGCCAGCTTCTCACCCGCTCGTGAGTGCCATCCCCTGGTGGAGGACAGCGCGTTCTGGAAGTGGGCGCCCAGCACTGGCTTCATCTTGCTGCTGGCCGCCTCCTCCAGGGGATGCTCACGGCTCCTAATTGAGGGAGCAGGACTGAGCCTCAGGCAGGTGGAGTGGGACAGGCGGGAGCCAGAAAGGGGGCACAGGTGGAGCCTGTGCCCTGTAATCCCGCTGATGGTCTCTTGGAAGTGGGCCCAGGATTCTTACATCTGCATTTTCAAAAGAAGCCAGAAACCCATATTTTTCTGTGAAAACCACTGACATTTCAAGGTGGTTGGTCTTAAAAGAAGTTTCTGCCTTGCCCTCGCCGGTCAGCCTGCATGACCGCCTCCAGGTCTCCTCTCCCCACCCCGGTTTTCCCAGGCCGAGGCCACCGGACAGAAGTAAAATGTCCCATTCATCCGCTCGCTAGAACCCGGGCTCCAAGTTCCTGCTATTTGTCAAGTTCCCTGTTTTCAGGTTTCACCTTTTTCAGGTTTTCCTGTCTACCACGGCTTTAGTGTGGTTTAAACTTAATTGCTGAGAGCTGCTCCAGGCCCTGAGGTGTCTGCTGCTTCTGGGTGGTTTCCTGTCGGCAGATGCCCCCACCTCTCCTGCCACCGCCCCCCTCCTGCTGCACTTGCTCTTTCCCGCAGTCCCCCCCCACCCCAGGCCTCCCTTGCACTGCCTTTCACACCTGCCACCCTTAAACTTGCTACAGAATGTCTTCTGATCCATGTGCCCTTGATTATTAATCAGAGAGGTTGTAAGTGTTCTACGAGAACTTTCGTGTGGGGGTGGTCCTAGGGGACGCGTTGGGTCAGAGCCTGGTTGTTCACAGCCAACAGTCTCCCTTCCTTTCTGTGGGAACCCCGAACACGCTGGTGCCTCTGTTCTTGGCTCTCTAGACTGTCTCAGCACCAGCGGCCTGAGCCAGGGCTGGGCTGGGCTGGGCAGGAAGGGTGCAGTGGAGCTTCTTGGTTTATTGATTAAGAACAGGAAAGGTCCTCTACTGTGCCGTGGTCACATCCTGGTCCCTGTTCACTCCTCAGAAGTCCCAGCTCCCACGCAGGGCTCTTGGGCCATTGTCAGGGCTGGTCCCTTACACCTGGAGGGCAGGAGGGCGCCAGAGCCACCGCCCTGGTGAGGGACTGCTGAGTCCCAGGAGGAGCACAGGAGGCCTGTGAGTAACGGCTGTCTTTCCTCTCAACTCAGAGCGGACCGAGAAGCTTCCCATGGGCTCCATTAAAAACGTGGTCAGTGAACCCATCGAGGGGCACGAGGACTACCACATGATGGTAAGTAGCCGGGCGCGCCGCGGCCGCGCTGCTCCAGCAGGGACTGCCTGACCGAGGAGACGCTCCAGGAGACGCCCGTCCAAGCCCCTGCTTTCCTCGAGAACTCGCCCATGACTTACCCGTTCTCTTGACCCCTCCACCCCCACCCCGACTGTCCAGCAGTTTCAGGGGGTACGTGGGTGTCTCTGCCTGCCTTTTATCTGTACGCTTTGTCTTTGGACGAGGAAACAACTGGAACGGGGAGCAGCGGCCCGCGGCTCTCCTAACTCCTTTCTTGTGCGTAGAATTGAGCCTCCCAGAGTCTCGGTGTTTGGGCCAGGCCTCCTCCCTCGGTGGGTCGCCCTTCCCGGGCTGCAGCGGTCACGTGGCGTGACCCCGTGGGGAGGGTCTGTGGACGCCGTTCTCGGGAGGTCTGCTCTGACGCAGGCTGCGTTCTCCCGAGACGGGACGGGTGCAGGCGCTGTCGTCTGTGCAGGGCAGAGAGCTCAGAGAACGGAGCCGCTCAGGCACGCCGCCTGCTTCCCAGCACTGTCTGGTGGGGCCGCTTGAAAAACGAAGTTAGCTATCCAGACTTGGAGACCGCTGGGCCAGGGACCTGCCCTGAGCAGTGACAGGGTGAGAGGGCGGCCGCCTGCCTTTGTCAGAAGAGGCCATTTTCAGCATCCACTCCGCAGGGAGGTAGCTACCTTGGCTCGTCCCAGGGAGGAGGAGCAGTGTGTGCTGATGTGGGTGTGGCTCACCGTCCACAGCAGAGGGAGGAGCTGGAGGACCCAGCAGAAGGGGCGCTAGCACCCTGGCAGTGCTCTGTAGACTGACGGGAGGGCCTGCAGCCTGCCCCTCTTCTGCCCTGCTGGTCTGCCAGGCCCTGGCTCCAAGCTCCTGGGAGCACCACTGAGGTGACCACATTATGGGCCTTGTGGCAGCCCTCCAAGCTGGTGTCTGGAGTCTTTAAGGCCTGCACATGGATTGCTTGCCTACTCAGGGTTTTTTTTTTTTTTTTTTTTTTGCTTTAAAAGTTGGATTTTATTTTGTTATTTTTTATTTTTTAACATTTTTATTGATTTCAGAGAGGAAGGGAGATGGAGAGAGAGATAGAAATATCCATGATGAGAATCATTGATCAGCTGCCTCCCCTATACCCTGTACTGAGGATCAAGCCCGCAACCTGGGCATATGCCCTGTCTGGGAATCAAACCATGGCCTTCTGGTTCATAGGTTGGGCACACCAGCTGGGCTAAAATTGGGTTTTGATATTTTCATCCGCTCCTACATTGCCCTTTGAAGCGTGTGCCTTCCCCGTGTGGCCCTGTAGTGTGTGCAGCCTGGTGATCAGCAGCCTGGTGAGAGGGTTTTACACCGGTTGAGGGGCCAGCTTGAACCTCCTAAGTGATTGGTGTGGCTGGGCAATGCCTTAGGTGTCATTTAAAGGCTCATTTTTTCCAGTCGTTTCTGGCAGCGGTGGCTCTGATCGCCCCTCTCTTCTCTAGCACCGTTCATCAGCACTTTTCCTTTGTCCTATGAGAGTATTGTTCCCTCTCTGCAGACACTAGATTAACATGCCAGAGTTCACATTAGAAGGGGGTGGCTGTGCTTTGTTCTTTTTAGAGAAATCTTAAAAAATACAAGGACAGACTATTACAGCAAACCCATATACCATCACCAAGAAGTGACAATTGCAAATATTTTGTAACTTGTTTTGAATCATTTTTTAATAAAAGAAAATTTACCAGCAGTGAGTTCGTCCCCATTGTCTCCCCTCCCCACTGCCCTCTTCACGACCTCCCACTTGGCCTGCCCCGCTCTGCTTCCATTTTCATGTTTGTCCATGACCAGGCTTCAACTGTCTGTTTTTTCCGTTTTCATAAGTCTCGTGGTCTGTGTCGTTCTGCAGCTGCTTTTCTGGTTCGACGTTGTGCTCTGTCTGTATTCACCATAGATCCAACTCACACAAATAGGCCACATCACTTAACGGTGCGTCCCCTCATGGGACAGCAGGCTGCTTCCCAGTGGCTCCCCTGCTGGCAGTGCTGCTCCGAGCGCTCACCTGTTCCTGCGCATGTGGGACTGTTTCGGGGGCAGTGGTTCCCACGAGGGCCTGGGTCAGCAACTCCTAGGAATTGCAGCTGCCCAGGCCCCACCAGCCCTCCAAGTCGCAGGCTGAGGGGAGCCACCGATCTGCTGGACAAGCCCGCCCTCCAGGCTCTGATGGGTTCCCAAGTTGGGGAACCACTGCTTTAGGGTTCGCTATGCTGCTGCTGCTGCTCCTCTTTGGACAAGAGAATGCTCCCCAAATGAAGTCTCCCCTTCCCTGCAGGTCAGGCCACCTCAGCCCTCCCCTGTGCGTGCTGTGCTGCCGCTCAGCCTCCCACCTCTGAAGTGTCGCTTGGTTTTCCTTTTCCCTTCCAGGCGTTTCAGTTGGGCCCCACGGAAGCCTCTTACTACTGGGTGTACTGGGTTCCAACTCAATATGTGGATGCAATCAAAGACACTGTGCTGGGGAAGTGGCAGTATTTTTGAAAGCACTTTCACCTCTGGCCCAGGAGACTGACCCACAGTGAAGGACATTGCTGGGAGAGGCCTGCAGCACCCCCGGATTTCAGAGTTCTGGACCTTTGTTCACACACAATCTATGCCCAATCTAAGGTGATGTGGTGACCGAAGCCAGAGGTGATGTTCTTTCACCCGTAGCTTAATCCTAACTTAAAATCACCGGCTCCCTTTCTTGCAGTCAGCTTCACACCATTTTAAAGTCAGTGGAAACCAATAAATCTGAACTCGGAAAGTGTTGTGTGGAATACTCTTAAGTGTATTTGAGAGTAGATCTGCCAAGGTTTTGTTTAGAAAGGAATGGTCAAAAGCTTTCTGCTTTTTTAAAAAAGTGATTTCAACAAATATTTTCATAAATCTTTGGTTGCAAACATTTGGACTGTGTTTTGATGAGTTGGGGTGTTTTGTTTCTTTTTCATATAAAATTTTATGCAAAGTGGGAGGGTTGGTAAGCCATATTTTTCTGTCCATTGACTCAGATTTAATTCTTTCCCTTTGTATTTTCTCACTTCCTGGATAGGAGTTTTTGTTTTGAAAACCCAAAGATGTCAGTTCCTCCTTTTGTACCTCATCACTGCTTCCTTTCCTGGCCGCCTCTGCCGCCTGCCGCTTGTGTTGCACGCGGGAGGTTGCGGCCGGTCTTGGTCAGGGAGCTCTCACGTGCTGGTGTCTGGTGAGCAGCAGAGGGTCTCTCAGAGACTCTTGTCTAAACACCTTGGCCTTTGGGCACCGGTCTCTGGGGCGGTCGTTGCCGCATTGATGGTTGCCCGCAACCCTCACTGCGATGGTTCTGACGCCCAGCTGGCCTGAGGGCGCCTGGCTGTGCTGCTGCAGGACCTGCAGTTCCCAGCTGGCACAGTCTCTTCCCGGAGGTGCTGTGTGAGACCGTTCTACAGCCATGCAGCCAAGGCTCACGTGGCAAGTTTCAAGCATCTTAAGCAGCCCAGTGGTTATTTCAGTTGTGCTTCTCCATTTGCTCCTTCGCTCGTGCGTTGTGTTCAAGTTCTTCCTCCCTCGTCAGAGATGCCTTTCTCATCAAGAGGACATCTGGCCTCGTGGGTTGGCGATATGTTGCAACAGCAAATGTGGGATAAATTGCTTTTGTGATTAGCTCGCCCTCCTCTGGGTTAGCCCTTCTGTTCTTTGTGCCCGTGAACCCTGTTGTCTCCTTGTGGCTTGGCTGACAGAATGAGAGTCTCCTGCGAGGGCATCCTTGTGCTGTGCTGTCCACTGCTGCCCTTGCAGTCCCCCCTCGCTGCTGCAGGCTCTCGCGGGGCTTGGCCAGAGAGTTTCCAAACCTGCAGTCGATTCCAGGCTGTTCGTCCTTGTTCTGTGAACTGTATTAGCATGTGTGAGCCAGTGAACGGTGATCTTCTGCACCTTCCCTCCAAATGTAGTTCAGGAATCCAGCCGGCAAAGACAGGCTCGTGCTTCTCACGCCCTAGTCCCTTCCCACTTCGCTTCGGGGCAGAAGTACCTCGGTGAAGGGTAGTGTCCAAGAAACTGCTGGCCGTTCCCTCCCCGGGAACCGGAGAGTGGCGGACTGCACCCTGTCCTGCTGCCTGCGCTCCTGCAGGCCCAGCCACGTGGCAGGCCGGCCTCGGCTCGGCTCGCTGGCCAGTGCCCCGGTCCTGGCGGCTTGTCCCGGCAATGCCACACGCCTTCTCTCCTCTGGAAGCAGCATCTTCGTCCCCAGACTGGCCTCACCCTGCTGCTCTCCGGCCCTCCCCGCCAGGTCTGCATTGACCCTGTTTGGCTACGCGCCAGCTGCCCCCCCTTCGTCCCGGGACAGCCTGCCCCATCTGCCCTGCTCCCCACGGGCCAAACCGCTTCGCACTCAGGCTGGCGTCATTTCCAGACAGGACCACAGCCTGCGTGAGCCTTTTTATTTTCAGTAAAATGGTGCTTTCCCCTTACTTTGAAATGCTATATGTTAACAATAATGTACTGACATCTTTTCGTCGGAGTGTTTGATGGGCTCACTGACTGCCGGAACAATAATGGAGATCTTGTGGGAAGGCCTTGTGGTAGCGCAGAGGGGACGGGCCAGAACCCTGGGGAGGCGTTGGATTTGGTTCCGAGTCTGGGTCCCAGCAGTATTTGCAGTCTTGTCACTCGGTCCGAGGAGCTGTCTCGGCATTTGTTTTCTTACGGCCCAGAGTGTGCCGAGAGTCTGTCCGCAAACTGCTCTCCCTCCAGAGGCCTCCCGGTGTTACTGTTTGTCAGGATGGTTTCTGTGCAGCTCTTCCTCGTGGTCCTGACTGTCCCTCACGGTGGCACCGGGCGTGCGGGTGGACCGAACAGGGCCGCAGGTGCAGGAGCAGGTGGGCATGGCCTGTCCGAGCGGCGCCCCCTTGGCCTCCTGGCTGCTCTCCCTTGTGGACTTCGTGCTGGGCCTCCTGCAGTTGGTGGTGGCTCACTGGCGCCATGCCTTTCTTTCCCCCCTGGAGGCCCTTGGCAACTAATGGCGGAGGAATGGCTGCTGAGGGCAGGCCGCTCAGTCAGCCTGGGCAGAGAGCTTAGACCTGTGAATCCTGAACTCTTTGATGTTAAATTTTTGTGCTTTTTTTGCGTGTGTAAGTATTTTAATTGCTGATGGGCCTTCTGCAAGTAGTAGTAGCTCCTCCTTGATGAGGCTGAACTGAGCTAAGGATGTCCTTTCCTATAACCCGTGGACGCAGGAGGCCGGCGAGGCCTCAGGAGTCTCCTCAGTTGCTGCTTTGCCTTCCAAGGGCCAGAGAGACGAACTGCCACGTTGCCACGGCTCTGGAAACTTGTCGTATTTCAGCCAGAAGGGGCTTGCTCTCCCCCTCTCTCAGTACCCATGTGCCTGGGAGAGCTCCCGGGCTCCCGCTCTGGCTCCCTTTCTGTGCCGGGGCAGGAAGGGGTGGGCTGGACCCTGTGCCACGGTCTCCTTGCCTCTGTTCTGCTTGTTGTCTTGGGAAAGGTTGGTCCTTTGTTTAGGCTTTGTAACCATGTCATCTCTACTTAGGATTGGCACCTGCTTCCTTCCTAGTAGGTGGCTTCTGAAGTTACAGGTGTCAGGGCCTCCGGTGCAGAACATCCGGCCCATTTCCCTCCAGGCCGAGTGGCCTGCTGCTTTCCCAATTTCAAGAACTGCTTTCTTTTTTCTTAAAGAGTGCTCCCGAATAAATTGACAATATACGTAAGTACCATGTTTTCTTGTGTATGCTCTGGTCTGGTTTTTGTTTTTAATCAAATGCCTGTTGGGAGGAGATGAACGTATTTAGTCTGTTAGATTTGCGCTGCTGGATTTTTTTAAAAAGTGTAACCTTGACTAGCTGTCTTATTGTTTATCCTGTAAGATTAGCCTATCCATTAAAGTTTGATAATTAATTGCGTCTCCTTTTTCCTTCCAATTATTCATGCGCCTCATCCATACTGGGGATTGACCAATATTTGGAACTGGGCCTGGAGCCATTTTTTTAACCAGTTGTGGTCAACCATTTTCCTGTCTTCTTTGTTTGCCTTTGAGTACTATATCCAAATTTGAGTATATCCTGCAAAAAACAGTTGAGAAAGAGATTTGATTTGATTACTTCTGTATGAGTCAAAGTCACTGCCAGGCCACCTCCTCCTGCTCTGGCTCCGGCTGTTGGAGGCGATGCCACCTCGCTGTCTGTTCACCTGGCTTTGCCTCTGTGACTTCACCCAGCCAGGTAGCCTCGGAGGGCGTGGCTGGTGACGCCTGGGGTGGAGCTCCACTTCCCGCCGCAGCACAAAGACCAGGAGCAAACAGGCCTTGGCGTGAACGCGCTTTGACACCAGCACTTCCACGGGACACTCACCTTCCCTCCGCTTCGTAAATGTTCCCAAGGTTCTGGTCCCACGGCCCCTCCTGGCTCGTTCCGCTGTTCCCGTACCTCATAACCACGAAGCAGTGCTGTCCGGCCACAGGGGGCTGCCACTGCCACAGGCTGCACGTTGCTGGCGCCCACTCCAGCGGGCTCCTCCGGGTTTATCCAGTTCTGAATGGTTGCTTCAGGCTCCTTGATAGGGAGGAGGTAACCTGCAGCCTGAATAGCACACCATACCCACATTTTCACAGCTAACACCCCTTTGCTCTGGGATCCACAAGCCACAGCCATTAATGTCCTTTTCTAAGCTCAAGGGCCGTCAGTCAGTTTAGGCGGTGCACACGGAAGTAAAGGCGATTCTCCCGCGTGGCTGTGCTCGGCCGAGCTGACCTGCCATCCTACTTAGCAAAGCTGTTTTGTTCGAAGCCTTGTTGGCTTGTCTTATCCTCTTGATACAACTCTTCCTGCTGTCCACCCATGTTCTATAACTCCTGGTACAACCCTTTCTGCTGTCCACCTCATGCTGTACTCCTGGCACCACCTTTCCTGCTATCCATTCATCCTACTAATAAAAAGGGAATATGCTACCGAAATCGGTTTGGCTTAGTGGATAGAGCGTCGGCTGCCGACCAAAAGGTCCCAGGTTTGATTCCAGCCGTGTACCTTGGTTGTGAGCACATCCCTAGTAGGGGGTGTGCAAGAGGCAGATCGATGATTCTCTCTCATCGATGTTTCTAACTCTATCCCTCTCTCTTCCTCTCTGTAAAAAATCAAAATATATTTTTTTTAAAAAAGGGAGTATGCTAATTGACTGCCCACCCCTCAAAGATAACGGCGTCCAGTCCCCTCGGCCCTGCTGGGGTGGCAGGCATGTAGCAAGGCTGAGCCTGCTCCCAGGTGGGCCTGGCAGCTTTGTGTGCCTACCTCTGGAGTCCCTTCCCCTCAGCCCCCCAGCTGCCCAGGGCTGGCCTGAGACACAGGCAAGCCTCAGAATGCTGCTGCCTAGCTGCTCAGGGCCTCCTGGGGCTCAGGTAACCAGGGCCGGCTAAGCCTTGCACTGCCGGCAGTGGCAGCAGCACAGGTGTGACGGGCATCACCTTCCCGATTGCTGGGTCACCTCCTGCCCCTGAGAGCTCCTGGACTGAGAGGGGGCAGGCTGCCCCCTCCTGGTGAATTTTCATGCACCAGGCCTCTGGTGTTATATAACTCCTGGTACAGCCCTTTTCTGTAGTCCACCCTATATTATATAACTCCTGAGTGTGTGTTTTTTTAATACAGTTTTATTGGTTTCAGAGAGCAGAAGGGCCTTTACTATTGTTTGAACACTTAGACCCTAACTAGCATTGCCAGGAAATTATCTGGGATTCAGTGTTTTCCTTCCTGTTCTGGCTCCTGTGGGACTTAGAACAGCTACTGGATGCTGCAAACTCTGCAGCAGAGTCCTGACTGAGGTGGCAACGAACGCCACATACGTTTTTGTTTTGTTTTTTTGTCAAAATGTGCAGCTCCCATGGGGGTTAGAATACTCAGAACAAATTGCCCAGATGTTAAAATTATGACGTCCCATGCAACCTGTTTCATTCTAAGTACACTACTCAAAAAGTCATGCATATTAAGCACAGCTCTGGCCAGTGAACTTTGAAGGGTCCTGGGTTTGATTTGGGTCAAGGGCACATACGTCGTTTGCAGGCTCAATTCCTGGTCCTGGTTGGGGCACATGTGGGAGGCACCCAATCGATATGTCTCTCTCTCTCTCTCACACACATTGTTTTTCTCTCTGTCTCTCTTCCCTCCCTCTCTCTAAAAATCAATGGAAAATATCTTGGGTGAGGATTAACAACAAAAACCCTATTAAGCATAGTCAATTTAAAAATGCACTTTATAGACATCACTGAAAAACTAAAGACTGACAAAAATATTGTTTTATAGATTTATTTCAAAGGGCACAAAAACTTAGACAATTTAAATACAAGTTTAAACAGAATTGCTCTGTCGATGTCAGCAATGATGCCAACACTGGTTCTCTCGGCCAGACGCTCGCCTCTATCTTCTTGGTGAAGAAAAGGGGTCTGGAAAAGACACAGCAAGTAAGAAAAAATTTAAAAAGACAACAGCAAGTGCCCCAACTTAGCGCAGCATTTCTTTTGGTGTCTGGTTACCGACCTGACACCAAGAGCTCTGAGGTGTTACAACCACAGTACCTGAAGTTTAACAAATCTCACCCCTTGGTTATCCTAGAGCTCAATTAACAACCACATTTATTTACTGACTGGCTTCTTTACCATCACGCGTTGTAGTAAGTGATGTGCACATGCCACTGAACTTCACCTTCACAAAAATCCCGGTAGGCCCTACCTTTTCCCCCACTGGACATAAGGGAAACCTGAGGCTCACAGAGGCTAGAAAGCCTGCATACGACCACCAGACTTCAGACTGTGACAGAGCTGACAATAAACACGTGTGACTCCTGAGTCCATCTTCTTACTCATGAGTCTCTAACAGCCAACAGCTAGGCCATCCCAACTTCTGGACAGCAGTTGGGATGGCCTCGGCTGCCATGCGAGGTGGTGGTCTCTGCTTCTTCATTAATTTGTGCAGTATTTTCTACAAGACTGCTGTTAGGAGGGCTTGCCACCCTAGGGAGTCTGTCCAGGAATTAGTGCTTTCAACCCTCGTCGAGGATAAAGATTCCATTGCTAAGGCTGGTGCCTTGGAGTGGCAGATAACCAGAGGGCCTGGCCTGCATTTTATAACCAGTAAAACGTGTCAGGCATTCCCATTCTCCTTTTCTTCCTGACTCTCACTTTACTGAAGAACCCCACAGAGGTTAATTCTATTGGAGAAATCATTCTATGTAAAATTATTTACCTGATCTTTATTCATATACATCCTTCTTATCTGCAATGTAATCTACAATTTCTTGTGGACACATCAATTTCTCCGCATCTATATCAGGAATTTCAAAACCTAAAGTGAAATTTACAACATGCATGAGAGTAGAAAAAGTAAATCCCTTATTATGTTTTATTGATTTCAGAGGAAGGGAGAGGGGGGAGAGAGAGGAACATCAGAGTCATCCATTGGCTGCCTCCTTGCATGCCCCCCACTGGGGATCGAGCCCTCAGTCTGGGCATGTGCCCCCCACGGGGAAGTGAGCCGTGACCTCCCGGTTCACAGGTTGACACTCAGCCCCTGAGCCACAGCTAGTGAGCCAAAAGCAAAGTTTTTACACTCGAAAGCACTAATACCTCTGTAAAACCCTCAAGTACATCAAGTTTCCAGCAACTCTGAATCCATTCAAGTTGTGACTCAGTTATGTCTGGACTGTGTAAATATTGTATTGGGTAGAATGGTTGGTTCTTTTTAAGAAAGATCTAATTCACATAATAGGAAATCACCCACTGAAGGTGTAAAATTCAGTGGTGTGGTCACAAGGTTGCGTGCCATCACCATTCCCCACTTTTAGAATATTTCATTACTCCACAAGAATCCCACCGTACCCTACCGCAGCAGCTTCAGGCCCCTAGTTGGCACAATCTGCGAGGAGTCTTTACTAGGCTCTGCTCTGGGGATGGCTTCTATTCAGGCAATTCATCCCCCAAATTAGCTGTGGAGCCTTGAATGGTCTCATTTGCATAACTAACTGTCCCAAACCAGAATAACCTGGAGCAAGTACAGGAGACATCACAGGAAACCACGGCGCAGGCGCAGGCGCACACGTGTGTGGTTGTGTGTGAAAGGGGGCCTACTGTTTCTATTTACATATTGATTCAAATCCCAATTCAGACTCCCCACATTCTTTCGCTTTAACACACCCAAATCAAGAATTACTCTATGGGCTCTGGCTGGGCTGCTGAGTGGTTAAGAGTGTTATCCTGATACAGCAAGGTTTAGGGTTCCATCCCGTCAGGGCACATACCAGAATCAAACAATAAATGAATAAATAAGTGGAACATCAAGTTGATGTTTCTCTCTCTCTCAAATCACACACACACACACACACACACACACACACACACACACAAAATACGGAGACCCAAGCTTCAGCCTGTGAGTGTTACCAAATTCGTCCTCCATGGCCATGATGATCTCTACTTGGTCCAAACTGTCTAAGCCCAGGTCTTTCATAAAATGGGAATTTACTGAGAGCTGCAAGAAAGGGACACCAAATACAAAATTCAGTCTGAGAGAGCTTTTGCTTCACAAGATATCCGAGTGGTACAGTGTTACTTAATCATTACACAGATTATTTTTAAGTAGGAAGGACCATAATTAACATCATACCGCTAACATGCTAACGACATACAGTTGGTGTGCTTTACATGTCAATTTTTCAACCTGTTTTGAATTGTTTAACTATATAAAAAGCTAATGACTTTCATGTTACATATTAAGATCTTTGTTCATTGCTTTGAATGGTTTGGTTATTCTTGCTGCCTTATTAACGAAGATACTACATCTTAGGAGTGACTTTCTTCCCCTCAAGGATAGCAGTGGTGTTTGTCACCACCTGTCCTTAATTCAGACCTCAGGATCCCCGGGAGAGTGCTTCAGAGCCCACCTGCAACCACTGTCCTGGTGACACGTACAGCGTGGTGGCCCCACTGAGTAACACCATCTTGCACGTTTGAAAGTTGTTAAGAGAGTAGGTTTACAAGTCCTTGTCACAAGAAAAACACTTTTTTCAACTGTGTGGTGACAAATATTAACTAGACTTACTGTGGTGATTAATTCATAATATATGCAGCAAATAACTGAAACTAATGTGTCAGTTGCACCTCAGAAAACAAAAAACCTCCAAAACCCACTATTCTCACACAACAGATTCAATCAATAAAGAAGGAAATTTCATCTCACTATGAGAAAAATTCCAAAGGTTCAGAAAGGTGCATAACAGTGTTTCCAGTACACGTACCACTGTGTTTTTTAAAAAGGGGGAGGGGACACACGGACCATGCAGCACATAGAACATGTATGTGTTTGTTACTGCCCTGCACGCACGCTCAGTATCTGTGGGAAGGTGCACAAGCAGCTGCTTTCACTGCTGCCTCCCAGAGGGGAATGGGGCTGAGCAGGGAGATTTGACTGCAGTCCGCCTGGACGCCTGCATTTTGTACCACGCGATTCAATACTCATGTAAAGAAAAGGAGCATGTAAACCACATCAATTACCTTTTCTGGGTCAATCTTGTCATAGAGTTTCAAGACATAAAGAACACGGTCCTTGATCCCCTCTAGCGTCAGTGGGGGCGCGTCACTGTACTGGCGGCACAGCTGTGGAACTCTGCCTGGTACCTAGGGCGAGGGCAGGAAGGAAACATTGAACCACATGCTTCAAGTGCCCCGCTGGCGTGGCTCAGTGGTTGAGCGGTGACTTAGGAACCAGGAGGTCACGGTTCCATTTCTGATCAGGACACATGCCTGGGTTGCAGGCTCAGTCCCCAGTGTGGGGTGTGCAGGAAGCAGCTGATTAATGCTCTCTCATCCTTGTTCCCTCTGTAAAATCAATAAAAGAAAAGTAGATTACCAAATAAAATGCCTCCAAGTAAATGCACTGGTCAGTATTAAGTACCTTCCACAAATCACTTAGGGCTCCAGAGAACCCACCCATCGAATTCTAAGTGTGGCCCCTGGGTGGCACCGGGTCCCTGCTGGGTACTCTGCTGCCCTAGGCCAGTGGTCAGCAAACCGCGGCTCTTTGGCCCCTTGAGTGTGGCTCTTCCACAAAATACCACATGCGGGAGTGCATGTACAGTGCGATTGAAACCGTGGCCCATGCGCGAAGTCTGTTTTTGGCTCTCAAAATAAATTTTAATCATTGTACTGTTAATATCTGGCTCTGTTGACTAATGAGTTTGCCGACCACTGGCCTAGGGCCTAGGCGGTCAGCAGCAGCAGCAGGCCTACTTTCCCTCGGAGCCAGGACTGGCTTTGGACATTGGTCCTGTTCAGTGAGACTGCAATCACCTACGGCTGCAGAAGAGCCCAAGTTTTCCTCGTGGCGTCTACAGTAGCCACTGCCTGTGAGTCCCTGCCACCTCTACTGGGCATAACCCACAGGGAGAAGAGCTGCCACAGAAACTGGGCAGCTCACACCGAGGGCCACACTGACCCGAGCACTGGCTCCCACGCCAACGGAGAGGAAGAGCCTGACAGTCCTCAGTCCAGTCTGGTCCCCTTCAGGGCCAGGGCCTGGGCCTGTGACTGCCAGCCCCGCAGAGCCTGTGACCTCTGACACGATGGAGGGCCATCTCACATCTCTGCCAGTCATCTGTTTATAGTCACCTGGGAGCCAGGGTCTGACGGGACTCCGCACCCTTCACCACATGTGAGAAGAGCTCCCGCTCACTGGCCGGCAGGTTTAAGCTGTGGAAGATACAGCGCAGAGCAAAGCAAACCCGTCGGATAGTTTCGCTGGATATGGAAGTCCCTAATCTGAACTGGTTCGTTACCTTCTAAAGCTGATTTTAATACTGCGGTTTGGAGTTCTTAGGGTGTTTCCCATAGAAAATAGGTTTTGCTTGTTGGGGCTCAGGTGCCTGAGACAAAGGTCCATGAAAAATTGTGATAAAAACACCAAGTGCCAAAACCGGTTTGGCTCATTGGATAGAGCATCCGTCTGTGGACTGAAGGGTCCCAGGTTCGATTCTGGTCAAGGGCATGTACATTGGTTGTGGGCACATCCTCAGTAAGGGGTGTGCAGGAGGCAGCTGGTCGATGTTTCTCTCATCGATGTTTCTAGCTCTCTATCCCTTTCTCTTCCTCTCTATAGAAAAAAAAATAAATTTAAAAAACAAACAAAAAAACACCAAGTGAACCAAACCAGCACACACCTCTGTATGAGCACTTACCAACGAAAGGGCCCGGCACTGAAGTGAGGTCTAAGCAGTGAGAAGTACTTTGGGTACTTCTGAGGCACTTACTCTTTTTGTCTGACTTTACGGTCTCCCGTCCTTTCCAATGACAGCGTGGGGTAAGGAAGTGTCTGACGTGGGAATGTCACCAGGCCTTATCAACGACTAGAAGAGGTTTCCAAGCCACAAATAAAATGAAGCAGCAGAAAGGACTGAAGAAAGCGGGAGGAATGAGATGAACAGTGGTAATGACAGACCTTGAGGAAGGATGTAGTTGGAGGAGGCTTTGTCAGTGCAGATCAAGACGTGGTGGGAGGTGGAATTACTGCTGAGGAGGACGGAGAAAGGAGTGCTTGTATGCAACTCCCCATGTGGCCCACTAGGGGTCAGCATTGTCCTGGCAGCAGGGCAAGTGCCTGCAGAGGCCAGGTGGGCACTATGTGATTAAGTGCAATTAAAGGGGCCTCATGCCAGTGTAAAGTGGCAGTTATAGTGGGCTCAGCAGAGACAGATGGGTAAGAGCTCAGACCTTGGGATGAGACTGCCTTGGTGGTTTTGTAGCACTAGCTCGCTCTTACTAATCTTTTTAAAAAAATGTTTTTATTGACTTTTGTTAGAGAGAGGAAAAGGGATAGAGAGATAAAAATATCAGTGAGAGAAAAATACCATCAATCAGCTGTTTTTTGTATGCACCTTACTGGGGACTGAGCCTGCAACCCTAGGATGTGCCCTGACCGGGAACTGAATCAGTGACCTCTTGGTTCATGAGTTGATGCTCAACCACTGAGCAACACTGGCCAGGCATTACGAATCTTTCTATGCCTCCGTTTCCCTACCTGTAAGATGGGATAAACAACATGCCAAGCTCCCAGGACTGTTGGGAGGCACAGGGAGGGTGCTCTGCAGCTGCCCGCAGGATGGGTGACGCTGCTGCCCTGCCAGTGAGGCTCTGGCTGAGGCCCAAGGCACGAGCTCCTGCTTCCTCGCACGCCTCCCCTTAGGTTCCTATTGATTACCAGGTCAGACTACAGCGCTGCCACAGGCACTTCCCACCTCACTTTTAGTTCTCACGGGCTGTGAGACAGAGTACTGTCACCCACCTCTTGGCAGGCTCACTGCTCCTGCTCGCTGGGTCTCCACTGTTTAAACAAAAGATTCACGTGTTGTTCCTGATGTTAACTGTTCTTCCCCAAGGTGTGCCCTCCACAATCCTATTTCTCCCAGGCACTTTCTCCCAGACCTGAGAAGGCACCGTGTGCGGGAAGGAGGGACTCTCCTCTGGAACAGCAGAGTGATCGAGCCTGATTAGTTTCCATCGGAACCCATCTCTCCGCCGGGGCCGGCTCTGAGGGAATGCAGAGAAGCCTAAGGAGACAGCTTTGAAGGCCGTCTCGTCCAACTGCCCTGACAATTCCAGCCGGGCAGCAGACATCTCAACCCCGCTGCGTGGACATGAGCTCCTGCCCTCTGGCTGCAAAGTGCCTGCTCGCAGACCAGGCCAATCCTCACCTCCCACTGTCCGCTGCCGTTCTCCCTGGGTCCCGCCACACGGCTGGCAGGGAGGTCCTCACCCCTCCACCGAACCTTGTTTGACGTTCACTCCCTGACCTAAACAGACATCCATTCCTCAGGGGCCGTGTGGCGCCTTCACACCATGCCGGTCTTCCCCGCAGCGGAGCCTCCCTGTGTGCCAGGCTCGTCCTCAGCCCCAGTGGCCCTGCCTGCTGCCCTGAGACCATGCTCGCTGGGGTTTAGTCCTTCTTGCTTCTGCACTGTGCACACACCTGTCCTCACATGTGGATATGTGGCATGCTTTGCCTTTATTTACATGACCATCTCAGCCTCGGGAAAGCTTTACCGTGTATGCAGTGCACTGTGCTAGGGGCTGGAATGACCAAAATAAAGACAGCACCTCGATTTTCAGAGAAGCATCCAAGCAGATAATTTCAGCTGTAATAAAAACGAGACAAGAGCTCTGGCAGGTGTGGCTCAGTTGCCTGAGTGTCATCCTGTGTGCCAAAAAGGTCGCTGGTTCAATTCCTAGTCAGGGCACATGCTCAGGTTGTGGGATCTGACCCAGGTCAAGGTTCATGTGGGAGGCACCGATGATTCTCTCTCTCTCTCTCTCTCCCTCTCTAAAAATCAATAAAATAACATTTTAAAAGAAGAGACAAGAGCCATAGCAAAGATATTGATAGGCATTCACTGAAAAGAAGAGAAGGAAACTTGGAGTTAAAAGCACAGGAGGAAGGGCAGGCCAAGGAAAGGAAAGGAGGCATGAAAGTGTGGTGTGACTGGGGAGAAACCAGTTCCTATTGCTGGGGACTTAGGGGAAGGTGGCACTCCCACGCAGGCTCTGGTATGACGAGGCAGGGGCTGGGGCTGCAGAGTCTCGAGTAAGACAAAATAGGTCCGTCTTACTGGGGAATGAATGATGTGGCCACACCACAGCCCGAGTCCATCACTGTCACCCATGTCATCTGGTTCTGGTGCCAAGAACAGCCAAGTTGTCCCTGCATCAGTGCTTTGCCTTTATGTGGGTACCACATCCCACACAAGTCTCTGGGAATGCTTTGTGCTGTGGCTGCAACAGTGTAGATCCAGAGCCCGCCGGGGTCAAATATCAGACTTTAGGCTCCATTTTTAGATTCTTCCCTTGTTTCTCTTACCTTCTATTTCTTTCTTTTTTACAGAGAGGAAGATAGAGGGATAGAGAGTTAGAAACATCAATGAGAGAGATACATCGACCAGCTGCCTCTTGCACATCCCCTATTGGGGATGTGCCCGCAACCAAGGTACATGCCCTTGACAATCGAACCCGGGACTTTTCAGTCCGCAGGCTGACGCTCTATCCACTGAGCCAACCCGGTTTTGGCTCTTACCTGCTATTTCTAAGTCTTATCTTTTTATACCCAGAAATGCTGCTTTAGCTCCTTTTTTTTTTTTTTTTTTTTTTTTTTTTTTTAAGGGGGAAAGGATATGGTAACTGGTTGCTCTGAGATCAGCAGAATGGATGAATCTTGAGGAGGAAAACGAGCAGCAGGGATGGGTGGAATGAGCACCCATCCAGATGAGAAGAGCCCAGACATAATGGAGTGACTTGGGGTGACTGGGCACTAACAGAAACCAGGCGACAGTCCAAGGAGCATGTGTGGTAAGAGATCTCTGGAGTTTACCAACGTGAAAGGTTTAGGCAAGGCAGAGAGTGCCTACTGGGAGAAGAGGAAAGGGCCAGGCCAAGGAAACCGTGAGGACAGCCAGGGAGAGGGGTGCAGGGAACGCAGGTTTAACATGATGACGGCAGAGTATCCAGTGAAGACCTGAACACTGTCTCTCTTAGAAGCCTTCTCAATGTCCCTGACATGCTGGCAGGCACTTAGCTGTCCCTCAGTACCTTGCGTGAACAATTATTCTCCACTTCGATCCACAAACATAAGGTGCCTAAGTGGGAGCACTTAGTCAAAACCACTTGTAAATATAAATAAAACAGTTCCTCAGTGTACATGTAAACTAAGCACAGGTAATGGAACATCTTCGGGCACTCTCCTATTAAAGACCTGGCCAGCCTTGCCGGTGTGCTCAATGGTTAGAGCACCAGCCCGTGCTTCAGAGGGTCAAGGGTTTGATTCCTGGTCAAAGGCACATACATGGGTTGCAGGTTTGATACCTGGCCCTGGTTGGAGTGCATGCATATAGGAGGCGACCAATCAATGTGTCCCTCTCACACTGGTGTTTCTCTCTGTCTCTCCCTTCTTCCTACTCTCTAAAGCAATGGAGGAAATATCATGGGGTGAAGATTAACGACAAAATAGTAAAGGCATGGTCCAAGGACCAGCAGCAGCAGGATCTGGAGAGCATTGGAAATGAAGACTCTCACTCCCTTTCCAGAACTGGGTTTTAACCAAGGTGACCTGTCCGCACAACCACACTAAGTATCAGCGCACTAAGAACAGGGACAATTGCTTTGCCTCTGGACAGACACTGAAGTCAGCCTCAGGAGCACACACACACATAACCCCCGCATGCTGCCTTTCTTCCTTAACTTCAGGGAGATGCTTTTACTTCCAATTCAGGCAATAGGACAATGTCCTATGAACGAAGGTGCTAGTGTCAGTAAATCTCAACATTGGCTGCGCAAAATCATCACCGGGCGCCCGCGCCCAAGCCTCCAGTAATTCTGACTGATTTGGCCCTGGGGGCATCCTGTTTTCATTCTGACATCTCAGTCAAGGTTGGAACCACTGTTACAGTGAGGTCCTGGAGCTGAGGGTTTCTCAGCTTGATCTTGGGAGTCTCTCCTACCTTTTAAGTTTTAACCTCGGTGCACTTCAGAGTCACCTGGGGAGCTTGAACAAAACCCCATGCCAGGCCTCACCCCAAAGAGAAATCCGAACGGGGGTGGGGGTGCAAGGGAGTTCACCCTCATACAGGACCCATCACATAAAAAGCTGGTGCTACCTGAGCCCAGGAAAGGCAGAGGGTCCGCACGCTGCGCCTTAGTTCCCCCCTAGCAAGCCATCACCGATCGGCATGACCGCTGGGGGAAGGGGCCGGGCGCCCGCAGGCTCCGCCGCCGCCGTCCTCGCTAAGCCCCGGGCGGCTCCACAGGGGGCGGCTGAGCCCGGAGGGCACCGCCCCCCCCCCCGTCTCCCGGAGCCGCGGCGACATTCGAACCCAGGGGTGCCACGAGGTCGCAGGCCTCCCAGCAGGGCCTCCTGACCGTCAGCCAGGGGGCTGGAGCGAGGAGCTAGCCGGAGGCCCGGCACCCGCCCGGCGGCGCGGCGCCGCCGGGTCCCGCCCCCACCCCCCCGCCGTCCCTGACCCCTGCCGCGCCCGCAAAGTCACGGCGAGTCACCTGCGCGAGCGCCGCGCCCGGGGCCCGGGGCCTCGGCTGGGTCTCCGCGGGGCGCAGCGTGGAGCTGAGCGGCCGGGCGGCGGCCAGCGTGGGAAGCTGGGGCAGCGACGCCAAGGCCGCGGGCAGGCGGCGGACACAGGAGGAAAGGACACGAGCCGCCATGGCTACGCCGACCCAGCATGCACTGCGCTGCGCCCGCCGGCCTAGTCCCCTCCCGTCGGCGCGGGCGACGCACAGAGCGGCGCTGCGGAGCCCCACTCGGCGGTGGCGGCCCCTGGCGGCCCCTGGCGGCACTGCAGCCTCGGGGCGCCGGCCCAGCCATTCCAGCCAGAGGCAGGGCCCAGACCACAACCATGCAGCCCTCCAGGTCCCTGAGCAGTAATCACTGACACAAGGAAGGGACTTACTTCCACCTTCTCTCCGAAGATTCTGAAACAGATTTATTTAAAAAGTTTGATGCCGCGATTCTTCCTAGGGATTAAAACTATTTAATGTGTCAAAACAGTATAAAATAATGTGAAAACGAGTTGATTTAAATATGTAACCCTGCCGAAACCGGTTTGGCTCAGTGGTCTGCGGACTGAAAGGTCGGTCTGCGGACTGAAAGGTCCCGGGTTCGATTCCGGTCAAGGGCATGTACATTGGTTGCAGGCACATCCCCCGTGGGGGGTGTGCAGCAGGCAGCTGGTCGATGTTTCTCTCTCATTGACGTTTCTGGCTCTCTATCTCTCTCCCTTCCTCTCTGTAAAAAATCAATAAAATATAAAAAATAAAATAAAATAAAAAAATAAATATGTAACACTAGCCCTAACCGGTTTGGCTCAGTGGATAGAGCTTAGGCCTGCGGACTCAGGGGTCCCAGGTTCAATTCCAATCAAGGGCATGTACCTTGGTCCCGGGTTCGATTCCAGTCAAGGGTATGTACCAGTGGGGAGTATGCAGGAGATGTGCAGGGGATGTGCCTGCAACCAAGGCACATGCCCCTGACCAGAATCGAACCTGGGACCCCCAAATCCACAGACCGATGCTCTATCCACTGAGCCAAACCGGTTTGGTTAATGTTTCTTTTATTTTATTAAATTTAAGTAAAACAGCCTTGGCCAGAGTTGCTCAGTTGGTTGGAGTGGGTGGTAGGTTGATTCCCGATCAGAGCACATACCCAGGTTTTGGTTGGATCCTTAGTCAGGGCACCTGCAGGAGGCAACTGATTATATATATATAATCCCCCCCCCCCTCTCCCCCCTCTCTATAAGCATGTCTTTGGTTAAGGATTTTTTTTAAAAAAATGGGAGCCCTGACCAGGTGGCTCAGTTGGTTGGGAGCTGTCCCATGGACGAAATTCCTGTCAGGGCACATGCCCAGGTTTCAGACTCAAACCCTGATAGCTGATCAATTCTTAAAAAATATGTTTATTGATTATATATAGAAGAAGCAAGAGGGATAGATAGAAACATCAATGACAGAGCAACATTGATCAGCTGCCTCCTGCACACCCCCTACAGGGGGATGAGCCTGAAACCTGGTCATGTGCCCTAGCCAGGAATCGAACAGGTGAACTTTTTTTTTTTTTAAATAAATCTTTATTGTTCATATTGTTACAAAAGTTCCTCATTTATTTCCCCTCCACCAGGTTCCCACCCCACCCTCTGCCCTTTTCCCACCCCCCATTGTCCTCATCCATAGGTGCATAGTTTATGTTCAGTCTCTTCCCATACCCCCACACCCCTTTTCCCTGAGAATCGTCAGTCCACTCCCCTTCCATACCTCTGATTCTATTATATTCAACAGTTAATATTGTTTATCAGGTTTTGTAATTCCCTTGGTTTTTAGATTCACTTGTTGATAGTTACATATTTATTGATCATAATTTTTATCTTTATTTTCTTCCTCTTCCTAAAGAACCCCCTTGAGCAATTCATATAATTCTGGTTTGGGGGTGATGAACTCCCTTAGTTTTTTTTTTTTTTATTTGTAAAGCTCTTTATCTGGCCTTCGATTCTGAGTGATAGCTTTGCTGGATAGAGTATTTTTGGCTGTAGGTTCTTGCTATTCATCACCTTGAATATTTCTTGCCATTCCCGTCTGGCCTGCATGGTTTCTGTTGAGAAATCAATCGTATTGGTGCTGACAATCGTATTGGTGCTCCTTTTTAGGTAAATACCTGCTTTGCTCTTGCTGCTTTTAATATTTTCTTTGTCTTTTGCTCTTGGGATTTTAATTATGATGTGTCTTGGTGTGGTCCTCTTTGGATTCCTTTTGTTTGGAGTTCTGTGCACTTCCTGGACTTGTAAGTCTATTTCTTTCTCCAGGTGGGGGACTCTGGGGCTCTGCCTTTCGTCGCTCCCTTGAGTTTCCACCTTATAGCCCAGATTCCCTCTGTATGAGCTTGGGTCCCCAAGGTCTGGTCTAGAACTGGGGTTCAGTGCAGTCGGAACTGGGGATCAGCACAGTCCAGAGCTTTTGTTCATAGGTCAACACCCATTTGCCTAGCTACACTGGCCAGGCTGATCAATGTCACATCCCACATTGATGTTTCTTTCTCTCCCTCTCCCTTCCTCTCTTCCTAAAAATCAGTAAAAATATATATATATAAAAAGAATGCATAATATGATCCCAGTGTTGTAAAATATTTCTATTTACGTGTTCACTAAAAAATGGAGTAGCTTTGATGTGCTAGTTGTTGAGGTTATAGCACTGAGCAAGACAGACAGGCAGTCTATTTCCATAGAGTTTATATTCCAGTGGAAGATGGACAATAAACAAGCAATATTATACTCCCCCCCACCACAAATAAACAACTCCAGGAAGCTATGATAAATAGAAGAACAATAAATGGGGAGAGGAATAGTGAGGGAGCACTGGAGGTGTGTGACTTTAGATAGGCTGGTCCCTGAAGGCCTTTCTTAGGCGGTATGTTTGATTTAACCAATCAGGAGAAAAAGCCTCAGGAACCATCGTGCTGTTGGTGATGCCAATCAGAATTCTACGGCAGTGCTAGCAATCGATGCCAGCTTCTCCTGCACCCTGACTTAACCACCACCATTCCACTGCTTATGCAATTGGAAGAGCAATTGTAACACCTCTTTGGAATGGTCAGTGAATACATGGCCAAGCTCCATTTTGAGTTCTATTTAAATAGAAAACTGATTGGCACCAAGGACCAGGGCCCATAGGTTTGTGCAATTCACCAGAGACACCCCAGCCTCTGATCATGCCTTCCAGGCCACACATTGGGACAGACCCATGGGACAGACCTGTGATGGTGACATGTAGCATTAACAAGAGGGAAAAGTCAGGGAGAGCCTTACTGCTTACTAAGTTGAGACCTTCTCTTCCCATGACCTATTTACATTTGTGTTCCATCTAATCCTTTTGGTCAAACAATAACTCACCTCTCATTTAAATGATACATTTTGGGAGAGCTACTTTTCCCTTCATCAAAGAGAAAATGTCAGCCTACATGACCTGTGGGTAAACGGTTCAATATTAAGATTGAGACCAAGTCCTTAGCAGCTGGGAAGACTTAAGGAGGACACTGCTGCTTCTCAGTAGTGCTCCCATCAAAGGATATACAAGCATAAACTATGTCAACCTCTTGCACACGTCATCCCACCAACCCCGCAGGTATCCCTCCCTCCTTCCAGCCCATTTGTGCTATGGTCTCAGCCCCTTCTGGCCCCCTGGGACCAGGTACCTCCAGTTATCTCTCCCTCCCTCCCTTCCTTCCTTCCTTCCTTCCTTCCTTCCTTCCTTCCTTCCTTCCTTCCTTCCTTCCTTCCTTCCTTCCTTCCCTGCCTCCCTCCCTCTCTCCCTCCTTCCCTTCTTTCTTCAGGTACCTCGTTATCTTTTCTTCCTGACTTCTTTCTTTCTTCCTTCTTTCCTTCCTTTTCTTTCCTTTCCTTCCTTTTCTTTCCTTTCCTTCATTTTCTTTTTCCTTCCTTCCTTCCTTTCTTCCTTCCTTCCTTCCTTCCTTCCTTCCTTCCTTCCTTCCTTCCTTCCTTCCTTCCTTCCTTCCTTCCTTCCTTCCTTCCTTTTCCTTCTTTGATCCCATAAACATGCCAGTTTCTCCTGGCCTAAAAACAAGGCCACAGGCCCCATTTACTGGCCTTCATATATCTCTAACATTACCATTCCTCCTCCTTTTGTAAGCAAGCTTCTTGAAAAACAAACAAAACCCCTATACTTTGTCTTTAATTCCTCACTTCCTATTCACTCTTTAATCCACTCAAATCTATATTCTACTTGAACCCTCTATTTGCACATCCACTGAAGCTTGTCATAAAGCTCACCACTATATTTTATTTTATTTTATTTTATTTTATTTTATTATTTTTTTAAATCAATCTTTATTGTTCATATTATTACAAAGGTTCCTCATTTCTTCCCCCCTCCACCAGGTTCCCACCCCACCCTCCGTCCCCCCCCCCATCCCCCATTGTCCTCATCCATAGGTGCAGTTTATGTTCAGTCTCTTCTTCCCTCAATTTCCCCAATAGTAAATCCCTTTTCAGATAGTAAATCAGTTACTTAGCATTTTCTCATATCAATAATACCTCCACATGCCCAATGATACACTTCACACAAAAGACATTTCCCACTAGGTCAACCAGCCTCATCCAGGCCCCACCCAAGGCACTCACAGATCAACACCCCAACCCTAAACTAACTCAACACATCCAGATCTAAGCCTTCATCACTTGATTCAGCAGACCCTCAAGTTCCCACGAAAGTTTCCAGCCATGTCTGAGAAGCAGCCGTGGGGCAGGGGCAGGCAAGGAGCGAGCTGTTCTGGGCCTGGCTGCTCAGGGCCTGGCCTCTGTTGCTCTGGTTCATTCCACAACCAGCTGCTCCGGGTCTGGTCACTGCCGCTCCCGACCTAGTTGCTCTGGACTTGGCTGCTGCTGCTCCGGGCCTGGCCGCTCCCAGCCTGGCAGCCGCTGCTCCGGGCCTGGCCGCACCCGACCCGCCTGCTCCCCCGGGCCTGGCCGCTCCCAGCCTGGCAGCCGCTGCTCCGGGCCTGGCCGCACCCGACCCGCCTGCTCCCCCGGGCCTGGCCGCTCCCAGCCTGGCAGCCGCTGCTCCGGGCCTGGCCGCACCCGACCCGCCTGCTCCCCCGGGCCTGGCCGCTCCCAGCCTGGCAGCCGCTGCTCCGGGCCTGGCCG